AGAGAAATGCTTTTTTTTTTTTTTTTTTTTTTTCTCTCTCTCAAATCAGATGTTCCCTCACCAAACCATGGCTGAACCCCATGGCCGGGCTGCTGCCGGGCAGGTCACCCCCCCAGCACAGGCAGCCCCTGCCCCAGCAGGCTGCACTGCCCCCCCTCGCAGCCCGGTGACTTTTAAATTTTCATTTTTGCAGCCAACGAGGGCAGGTGAATAGTTTGGGTTGTTGGCTGGGTTTTTTTAACCTTAAATACATTTCACATGAAGCACGCGGGCAACTCAGGTTTATTTTCTCAAAGCAAAGGGGAAAACAGCCTGCAGCTACCTGCTGAGGGGGAATTTCTTTGTTTGAATAAATCAGGCTTAGCTCAGAAATTAGGATGAGGTTTTTGTTTTTGTTCTACTTATTTAATCTTTGTTTTTATAAATAAATACAAATAACTCAAACTGAAACTCGATGGCTTTGGTGATAATAAAAGAGCAGCCCTGGGGAAATTTTCTTCATTAACATGTTCTTTCACAGCCCACACTCGGGGTTTCGGTAGGAAAACTGCTTAACCTTTTCAGCAGCAGAAGCAAATGCTTTTTGAAGTCCAGGCACACTAAAACACAGGGTTCACATCGTGACACTGGTTGCGCATCGCCGGGCTTTGCCTTTATTTTAGGCAAATAGATTAGAGAAGAAATTATTTCATCCCCCAGCAGCACGGGATCACCTTGCCCTTTCTCCGCTCAGTGCTCCCCTTTTCCCCGTGCCAGTAGTGAAAACATTAAAAAACCCCTAGAAAATATTTAAAAAGGGAAAAAAAAAAAAAGACTACTTCTTTATTTTGTTGTTGTTTTTTTGGTTTTGCGGGGCAGCTCTGTGTTCTACCAGCTCTCTTACAACATACTAGTTTTTAGTATTTGCAGCTCACTTCCTGTATGAGGTTAGTTTGTTTATCATAAAAACCCTATTTTTAAACCCATTTCTGCCAATAAGTAATATGAATGTTAATGTCAGGAGCTCATGGCCATCCTTCCCCCATCCTCAGCTGATGGGAGGACTCTGCTGGCCCTGGGAGGGATTGGGCACTGGGATGCTGTGCCACCAGTACACAGTGAGGTCTGGGGGCCCCAGCACCCTTATGTCTCCTCCTGTGATGCTCAGGTGGTTTATTTATGTGTTTCAGAAAAAGAAAAAAAAAAAGTATTTCAGAAAAAATTTTCTATTTTTTTTAACATGGGGCCATGTGCAGTCTTCCCATGGTGTGGGGACACATTGGGGTGCGGTGAGGCAGAGGTGGGACTCTCATTGCCCTTTCCCTTTGCTCTTGCTCCTACGCTCTCTGCGTCCCTCCTTGCACGCCATCCCCCAGCCTGTGCCATTACAGAGATGCCAATTAGAGCCAATTAGTGCTGGAGCTGCGTGCCGGCATGGGTAGTGGAGAGGATGCTCGGGGAAGCTGTTTGCTGCCATGTGCATTACCCCCTCCTTAGGGAATGGCTATCGCGCCATCTTCCAACTTTATTTCCCCTAATTGTTATCCAAGATAATTATGTCTTTGTCAAAAAATTTTTTGCTCAGCCTACAACGTCCGTAATTGCGCCGAGATGAAGCATGTTTTAATTAACAACCCATGAGGCTGGGAAGCCAAGGCTCCCTGCGCACTCTCCCGGGAAAATTAACGTATGAGCCTGTCAAAAGACCGGCAAAGAGAAATTCATCAAACGGGGGAAGAAAAGGCCCCGTATCCCCGCGAGGGTCCCTGCCCTCACCCAGCCCTGAGGAGCCATGCAGCGCTGAGCAAGCCATCGCTGTAACTTCTGAGGTCGTCTTGGCTCCATGGGACCGGCCTTTGTAGGTACAGTGGTGTCGCCAAGAGGAGTAACCCCATAGTCTCTCTTCTATAGGGTAGCGTAAGCATTGCAGGTCTTAATTTTTTTCAAACTCCCCAGAAAAGACCCAGAATAGGTTTGAGATGCTCAGGAAGGGCAGTGGAGGGTGGGTAGGGGCTCGCAGGCAGCTTGCAGAGCCCTTTGCTGGGGGGCAGCGGGAAGGTCCCCTTGGCCCTAACCATCCTTGAGCTTGTCTTACACCATATAAATATATGCCCAGTCCCCTTACAGCATCTATAATGCCCCCTTATTGTTTCTAGGGACCTCCATGGCCCCTTGCCAGGGCAGCCTGAGCAACCCTGCCTGCAGCCAGCTGTCTCCCATCTCCATCTATGATGGGCTTGACCAGAGGAGAGGTTGACCACCCTAGAACCTGCCAGAAACGCGAGAAAACCCGCTGGAAATAGTGAGCTTTGTTGCAATATGAAAATCAAATGCAAAGCTCGGTGAGTATTTTTAGCTGTTTAAGGCTGAACAGGTGTTTGAAAGGTCAGATGCGAGTCATTGGAAAAAAAGAAAAAAAAAATATATATATATACTGAGGGCCTGGCAGCATGGCACTGTCACTCCCATGGCACTGGATGGCCACGGTGTGGCAGCTGTTGGCCATTCGGCTGTGCCGAAGCCCCGATGTTCAGCCCACATCTGATGGGTGCTTTGGCTTGTGTGCCCCCACCAAGACCCCCCTGGTGAGTGCAACAGGCAACATTAGCACCCAACCAGGGATCATCGTTGGCTTTGGTTGCTCGTCATTCCCGAGGCAAGCAGGGGTTAAGGGATGTTGGGAGGGTCCTGAGTTGGTTTGGAACTGGGCTGAGGTCTCATGTGGCCTCAACAGAGTGGGCACAAAGCAGGCATGAGTGTTTGGGGAGGGGGCAAGCGTAGAAGGGCTTCTCTCCAATGGATGTGGGGCTCTGGGGCAGGGAGGCTATCAGATGGCTTTTGCCATGAGCGAATCTTTTTTGTTGTTGTTGCTTTTCAAGGAATAAAGGAAGTTTGTCATCCTTAAAACAAAAATTGCATGTGGTTTTAATTAGTTACTAAAGCAAAAATTTAAGACTATGGAAGGAAAGGGCCTGCCTCTTGGGGAGGACCCAGGTGATGCGTCTTTGGTGGATGTGGGGCCGTGACCACCTTGGACTTGGCCGTGGCCAACCCGAACCTGGCCATGGCCAAGCTGGGCCATGACCACCTGTGATCTCGGCCGTGGCCAGCTTAGAGCTGGCGCTGGCCAAGGGCGTGCTCAGAGGCGAGATCCCACCAGCGCTCTGCGCCGCTGCACGTCACCGGCAGGGCAGCGTTTCTCTTCCCTGTTGTCTCGCCAAGGTCACCGGGTTTGGGCAGGCAATGAGCTCCTTTCCAACATGAGTCATGGCAAACACAAATGGAGAGGATGAGGTGCAACAACTTGCCTGCGCAGGCTGGTGGACTCCCAAATGCCAATGGGACCAAAGAGCCATGGGCAGAGTGGGGCCAGCAGCTGCCAGAGCCTTGCCTGGGCAATAAAGCCTTTTTTTTTTTTTTTTTTTTGAGTTAAAGAAGCCCCCAAAATAGCACCTGAAACCAATAAACTTCCCTTTCAGGAACTTCTGTAATTTGAAACACACACAAGAACAAAAAAAAAAAAAAAAATCCAGAATGTTTTTGTTTGTCAAGTAGGACTTTTAGGTTTGTTCTTAAATACATTTCAGCTGGTGGGTGCCGGGGTGTGGGAGCGCTCGGCACAGCAGCACTGCAGCTTCCCAGACACTTCTCAATCTGCTTTTGCCCTAATTTCTTCCTGCCTTTCAGCCTTTCCAGCTGACGCATGGTCCCACCGTGTTGCGTCATGCAACCCAAACCCCGGCCACCCAGCTGATATTTCGGAAGAAAGTGGCTAAAAATATCCATGCCCCCACCCCCCCCCCCACCCGGCACCCAGCATGGCCCAGCAGCTCCTTGCCTTTGAGAAAAAGCAAAAAAAAAAAAAAAATCAAGCACTGAGCCCTCAACCATGCTTAACGGCTTGGTTTGTGCCGGCGGCATCGGCACAGACCTTCAGAATGGGAATTAAGCAGGACGCCAGGCAAGAAAAAGAAAAGTAGCATCAGCCCAAGTGTGATCATCTCACAAAATACTGGATGTTTCTGCGGGTCCCACCTTCTCCCTGCTGCCCTGCTTTTGGAGGGCAAGGCTCTCCCTTGGTGACAGCCCTATTGATCCTCTTCTTTTAATTGTTAGCCTTTAAAACAACTTATTGGGGTCTTCCAAAAGAAGCACGCACACCCTGGTCCAAGGGGAGAAACTGGGCTGGCCTGGCCCCACCCCACATTTGTTCCTGCCACCCCTCCACTTAATTTGGGGACCTCTGACATCACCTCTCATCCGCTCCTTCTACGCTAAAAGCCACGTTGGAGCGATCTCACCAGAGTATCATTCCAAACCATGGCTGATGCTATCAGTTATCCGCCGTCTGTTATCTGTGGTGAAATAAAAGCAAGAGGAGTAAGCGGAGGGCTGGAAGCACCCCCCGCTCCTTCCCCAGGGCACTGGGCCAGCAAACGGAGTGCAGAAATGGGATGGAGGGCCAAGGTGGAAGGAAGGTGGGATGGTAATATTTTATGAGCGATTTTGATTCAAATTTAATAATGAAAAACAATACAAAATAATAAAGTAAAAATAATATAAATAAAATAAACCCCCATGTTTCCCCTAACTTCTTCAATACCTGTGACAACCAACTGGGGACCAGGAGTGCCCAGAGTGCAGGAAGGTGCCCAGCAGTTGAGTTTGAGCCCATTGATGCAGCCCATGTCTGCAGAGCCTCATAAATGTTGGGGGGGGGGGGGGGAAAAAAAAAAAATCCAATCAAAACCCAAAGCACTCCCAGCTGGGGCAGCAGAGGTGCTGCTTTTGGGTTTGGAGATACTCAAGGCAATAACTTACAAACCAGCTTTGTTTAACACATGCATTTTAGCATTGCAGGAACTTCGGAGCAGAGGGCAACGCCGGGTACCTGTGTGCCTGCATCCTGGATCTGGGGGGTGATAAAGAGAGAGAACAGGGAATAAAGCAGCAAATATCCCCCCTCTCCAGCCCTTCCTCGGGTCATCCTCAAGCCCCCAAAGAAAACAGCACTCATGACAAATAGTTGAAAGTTTTTATTCATATAAAACTCATATTAAGAACATAAAAGATTGCATCTTAAAAAAAAAAAAAAAAAAGATCTGCAATTATTTACAGCAGTATTGCACAAGTAAAGTGGCAATTACCCTGTCCAAAATTCATCAGTGCAAAACACAAGTAAGCCAGGGAAATTGCAGTAAAAATGCTACATACGCTGGGTCCTGTGAAACGAGTTAGTGATTCATCAGCACATCCGTGTGCGCTGGGGCGGTACCTGATGTTACAGCTGGGCCAGGCAAAGTGGCCAAGATGGAGGAAAATGTGGCTTTAAAAGGAGGGTGGCAAAAATCATGGAGATGTAGAAGCCAAATTCCCACCGAATTTCACTAATGCTGAAGTCTTTGATGTGCCTAAATCACTACTGGGAAGCGGGACTTAGGCACTTTGAGAAAAAATAATAATACTAAGTCTCATCATCTAAACCATGTTGGCTGCACTGCCAGGAGAGGACAGTGCTTTGGAAAGTGATCCATCACATACTGCAGGGGCAGGGAGGAGAGAAGGGGGAAACAAAAATCTTTACAGGAACTTAAATAAGCAGAAAATAAATATACATTTCTACAAGTTACAGCATTATGGAACAGTAGAGTGCATTAATTACATGGGAGGAAAAAAAAAAAAAAAGAAATCTACAGTATTTACCAAGTTAAATTCTAAAAAAGTTTTAAAAAAAACATGATTTTTTTTTCTTTTTTTTTTTTTTTTTACTTATTTATAAGCTGTACAAAACTTACATAAGAGAAAGGAAAGGAAATACATTGCACACAGATATTTGGCTCAGATGATGAAAATAACATGGTGCACTAACCTAATAAATAGTCAGGTATTTACAGTTATGGATAAGAGGAAAAGCATTAACACATCATGTGAGATTGCCCGGGAATAAATCTGCTTTCCCTGCAACCAAGGAAAACTCTTCATCACATCCTTTTGGCAGAACAGAGACCACAGGTTACACTTAAAATGACCCAGAGCAGTCAGCCAACGTGGTGAAAATGAGCGCAATCGCTATTTAAAAACATCATTAGGAGACTTTGGGGGGGGGGGGGGGGGTGTGTGTTGGTTGGTTTTTTTTTTTTTTTTTTTGGTCGCTAAACCTCACAACTCTACAGGGATGAAAACTGGTTTTTGGGGGCTAATTTTCCTATGCCTACTTTTTGGCCGGGAACATCTCCTCTGGGGAAGTCCCGGGCAGACTGTGCCACTACCTTTTGGTTTTTTCCCTTAAAATGAATATAATTGTTGTCTCCATCGTTGGCTGGGGCGGCCTGGCGGGGAGGACGGGGTAAAGTGCTCGGCGTTTCTTTGGTGTACTCCAAGGGACACATTCTGGGCGGCGTGGTGCCGGGATGCTGTACAACTGCGAGACCCGAAAGCACCATTTCATCCATGGATGAAAATCAACTGGGGAAAACCTGCTCATTTGGTTTCCCCACTTTGCTGCCAAATTTTTTTTTATATATTTTTTTATTTTATTTTATCAACAGCCATGCAGTTCCACATGGGTTCCCATGGGAAACGTGCAGCGGCAGCCTCCCTGCTGGGCTTTTCTGTATAAACCCTACAGGAAAAAAGGGATGGCTCAAGCCTGGCTGGGGCAGCACAGCTACAGTGAGCCAAAACCAAGGGGACAAGGAGCAGGAACCTGCCCTGGCCAAGCTCACCGCGTATTTTAACCACTCGCTACCAGTGCAAAGGTTCCCCCTGCACCCTTTCCAAAATACCTTTTTTAAAAAAATCCCTGGCTCCCGCAGCTGAGGCCAACTCCTGCAACCCATGCTCATCTTGCAGGTCCAAAAAAAAAAAAAAAAAAGGAAGATAACAACACAAAAATTTAAAATAAAAGATTAAAAATCACTCTGTAATCCTCCAGAGGAGTGCAATCGGAGGCACGCAGCCCCGCACCGACGCCACAGCTCTTCGCCTACCCGACAGGCACAGGCAGCCAGTGCATAGAGGTCAGATTGTACAGTTTGTCCATCGTTAAAAACACTAATAATCATCCATGGCACGCAACAGCTTCCCCCTGCATGTGTATCGCAGGAAAAACTGCTATCGGGGGCTCGGGGGTTTGTTTTTTTTTTTTTTTTTAAAATCCTTACAGTGCTGGTGAAACCAGAAATAAAACCGCGGTGTTTGGAAGTGGGTTTGAGGACCACCTGCACCAGCCAGAGGAAAGGGGCAGCTCCAGAGGCAGAAAGGGGTATGTTTGTGCATAGATACGGGGGTGGCCGGAGCAGCCTCCCCCTTCGCTCCCCCCTCAAATGAACCGGAGACAACAGTGGGGCTCCCCGAGGCGACAGACCTGCTTCTTCCGACAAGCCCTCAGGGCTCCTCCAGCGAGGCTGCGGGCTCTCCAGGTGGAAGGGGTGTTGAGTGCCTGGTCGGGTCTTCCCAAGGGAAGGAGGGCAGTTTGGGGGGAGATGCGGCAGTCAGGGGGAACGGGTCCCCCCACGGCATGTCCCCGAGTGGATCCGTACCAGGTCAGCATCCTTCGGCGCCTCTTCCCCGTGCACCAAGCACCCCCGGGTCTTCACGCCGCCGGTCCTGGCTCGCTGATCCCCCTGCTCCAGGCTGTCCTGTCCGAACACAGAGAGGATCCCGGGGGGGAAAGAAAAAAAAAAAAAAAAAGGAAAAAAAAAAAAAATCCAGCGCCTTAAAAGCTCTCCTGGGTTCAAAAGCGAGCTACAAGCCATGACTTAAAAACAGTTCCTGAAGTTACGCAGCAGGAGCTGTCGTCTCCGGGTGCAAAGCTGCAGTGTGCTGGGAACTGTTTCTACCTGCCTCCAAGAACGTTTTATTGCTGAATTACTCAGTCACCAACATTATATTACATTATACAATACATAAGCGTTTTCACACGTTTTATAGAAAGAATTTCTAAAAAAAGGCAACCTGGTGGATTGGGTTTGGTTGGTTGGTTGGTTGTGATATTTTGGACCCTGGGAATCTGACAGCTAAGTCTTGAAATTCAGAGTTTAAAAAAAAAAAAAAATAAAAATCAGTCAGCAGGAAATAGGCTATTTGCATAATGCAAATAAAAGTGGATTTGGGGTAGCATTAGGTATTTACAGGTAAAAGAAGTGCTGATTTAATTCCCTCTGCCCTTATTCCATCATCACCATCCTTTTTGGGGGGCGACTGCCCAGGAGGCAAAGGGAGAGGGGAGGGCTCCGCGAGTCTCTGCGTGAAGGTCCACAAGGCAAACTAAGGCAGCTCTGCCCATCAGCTGGCTCAGGCTTTCCTCTTCCCCACCGCAGGGTTTATCCCAGACGAGCCGACAGGTTTCCAGAAACGATGACCTCCCAGAAAAATAAAAATTATTCCATAGCCGTTGAATATATTCGCTGAGACTCTTTCGGAAAAGAAGTTTAAAAAAAAAAAAAAAAATAGAGTTGAGAGAAACGCAGTAAACACCACTCTCGGACAAAATCCTGCATTGGAGAGTCCCAGCAGGTCGGGGTGGGATGCCCACCCTCATCCGACAGCCCCCGCCGCGCGTCCTGGGGGAGAGGAGGGTGGGAGCCGGGTGGCGCGGGACGCCCCCACGTCCGTCCGTCCGTCTGTCCGTCCTCCCTGGGCTTTCCCAACGAGTAAACAAGTCCCGGTGCCTTGGGATGCGCCCGGCGCTCACTGCATCCTCCAGATGAGGCGGATGATGTAACGCAGGAGGCGCAAAATGACGATCTGGGGGTGTCCCGCCTGGTTATCCAAGAAACCCTAAAACGAAAGAGGAGAAGGGAAAAAAAAAAAAAAAAAAAAAAAAGTAAAAGAAGGCAGTGAGTTGAATTTCCAGCGCGAAGCCCCTGTGCTACAAACACCTTGTGCAGCGCCACACAGATTTCAGAGGTGCAAAATCAAGCATTTTACAAAGAATGAAAATAAACCCCGCGACCTTTCATGCTTTCCTTCATTTAAAAGCTTTATAATAGTCCGAGGGTCAAAGCCGCCCACTCCCAGCCACATCTGCCTTGGAGGTGGCTCAACGGGGATGTCACGTGCGAGTCCCTGCACGTGGGCACAGGACACGTGTGGTGCTGCCGGCAGGGCTTGAAATGTGGCAAAGGAGCAGTCAGGGGGGTTTAAAAGCCACGGTGCGGAAAGGCTGAGAGGGAAAAGTAAAAATTTTAAAATAATTAAAAAAAAAAAATCATCAGCAGGGAGAGCAGCACGGGTCTCTGCAGAGGCAGGTCCCCACCCCCGGCGACGACGCAAGGATTTTAGTTCAGACCGCTCCAGGCGTAACCACCACCTCATTCACAAAACACAGCGAGCCAGCCGGCCACAGCAGCAACACCCTCCCCCCTGGAGCAAGGGATCACAACACTGCCCAGCCAAAAGCAAAAGGAACATGTGCCGAAGGAAAATTTATTTTTAAGCCTTTTTTCGATGGCTGAAGGGCAGCCCAGAGGTCCCCTCTCTCCCTCTCTATACCGTCCCAAAGCAAACTGATTCGAGCTATATTTAGTGCAGTAAAATCATGCCCGTGCATGCCCCAGAGAGAGAAATTGCGCTGTTTACACCAATACGCAAACTGCCCCTCCTGCTACAGGGGTGTAACACGGGTGGTCCTGTGGCAGGGAGCTGTTGCCATGGAGATGGGATGCTCGAGCATCCTCCAGCCAGGTACCTGGGCCCGGCACGCCTCCCACCCTGGGGCATCCCTGCACCCCAGGCCATCGGGATTTACCCACCCCCCAGCACGACCCTAAGCCCACCCCGCTGCCTGAGCACCAACGCAGCAGGGAGCAAGGAAAACAAAAACAAACAAAAAAACCCCAGCAGGCTTGGTGAAGGATGCAAGAGAAATGCCCCAATTAGATTTTCTTTAATAAAGAGGTATAGAAAAAAATTAGGGACCAAAAAAAAAAAAAAAAAAGAAAAAGACATTTTCCACCTCTGCAGGCAGCTCGAGTGTGGGCAGCAAAGCTCGAGGCACGCGACGGCAGCCAAGCGGTGCACCCTCTGCCAGCAAAAGCCTTGGCGTGGAGCTGGTCTCTGTGGCCAGAGGGTCCCGTGGCCACCTGAGTGGCTGGACGGCGAGCTGGCCGATTCCCAGTTGTCTTGCCCAAGAGATGGTCCCCGGGAGGGGGGTGGGGGGACGGGCAGGGCGTACTGATGGGGAAGGTGATAGGGAACTGGTGGCCCCGACCCGTCCGACAGCTCCGACCTGCCCAGCAAGTGCCGTTTTGGCAGGGCTCTTAGTTCCCCATTTCTAACCTCAGGCTTAAAAGGCAAAGCCCAGTGAGGGGCAAGGTGTCACTCTTCCTGCCAAAGGGCTCTGCAGAGCGCCCCCCCCGCCCCTTTCTCCAGAGCAGCCAGCAAGAGGAAAAGCCACCTTTCCACAAAGCAACAACCAAGCGCATCGGGGATGATAACTCTACAGCAATTGCTCCAGTGCTCTGAAGCCTCCTCGTTCCTGGGCGCAACCAGCGAGAATTCGTCAGATGCTAATTAAGCCAGGTACAAAGTGTTTTTAGGGTCATGCATGACAGCCTCTGCTCGTGTCATCTAGCAAGCAGGACGTGGTCCTCTGCGTTTCGGTTCTCTCCCCGGGGCAGCAGGCTGGAAGCTGGGCCCCGGCGCTGGGAACAGCCTCGTGCAAACCCACGCGATGCCCTGCGAGCGGGCACCCGCGCCCCACCCTGCTGCCACCTTCACACCCCCCCTGCCTCGCACCTGGGGGGAAACCCCTTCCTCAGCCCCCCCTGTTCACTTCACACCCTAAAACACCGCTCAGCATGCATCACGGTCTTGTACAGGGCGGCACAGATTTCCAGCGTGCAAGGTTCCACGCGTGGCAGCACGGAGGGAGCCGGTCCCCAGGAGACGATGCAGGGAGCACATTCCTGCTCGTCACAAACCTTTTCCCTGAAGGTGCTCAAAAGGGCTTGCCTGCACCCCAAATTTAAAGCACTGTATTTCTGCCAGACCTTCTGGATGAACTCGCCGCTACCAGGCGCCTTCAGCTGTCTGAGTGCCGGTAGGATTGCCTTAGTCCCTACCTTTCATTGAAAAGATGTCCTTTATACAAAAAGGAAAAAAAAAAAAAAAGTGTGGGTATTTCATGTTATGAGGGATCAGCCTGGATGGGGGAGGTCGGAAGATGCGTGTTCCGGATCCGGGCTACAACGCAGCTTATCTCCAGTTTGTTGTGGGTCAGGAAAGCCAGAGCATTCAGAAAGAAAACGGAGCTGACTGAGAAGTCTCCAGCAAGGAGCCCAGCACCCATTTTGGGAGAGAACCCCTGCCTACAGACATTCACCAAACAGACCCGGGGAGCGGCGAGGAAACACGCTGCAGGAGTGACTCAGGAGCCAGGGAAGACGAATAAAGATCCAGGCAGTCTGTGTTTCATCACCAACGCTGCTGCTCAACGTGCTTCTGAGTCCTCTTCCCGCAGCTGAGCGCAAGGGCGAGTTGAGGGATCAGAAACCACATGCACGAACATGCAGCCGCCAGTAACGCTCAGCAGGCAAGTTACTGGCTAACAACGCTCTTCTGAAAACTACTGTTACTTCATCTCTCAGGGTTGGTTTGTTCTGGGGTTGGTTTTGGTTTGTTTTGTTTCTTTTTTTTTTACATTAGTGCCACCTATTTTTGTTGCAACACTCGAAGGTGAGAGAGTTTACAGTCTTGTAAATATACATGTTTCAAAACACCTCTGGCAGGTTCTTTGTAAGAAAAATATAGTTATCAGACCAAGTCCATCCCGGTTTCTTATTTGCAACTACACTTCCACGCACGCGATCCTCGGCAGCAGGGATTTGGGAGCCAGGCCCAGAAACCAGCTGCATTCCCTCCTTGCCCGTTTCCCTAAAAACACCGCTGCCGGCACCCGACCGCTGCCAGGTCCTGAGCAGCTCTTCCCAATGCCACCCCCAAAATACCCCAACACACCCAAACTTTCCCTGCCTGTAAGCTTCTGTAAGTTCCTTCCTCATTGTCAGGTCCAGTCCCAATCCTCCAATACACTTTATTGGCCCTGGGTGTTACGACAGCTACTGTGGACTTCGTACCCAAAAGCCTCAAGTCCCAATTTAAAGGTTATTTTTAATTGATTTAATGACGGTGCAGCAGCAGACGACTCGCTGGCACAGGCAGCACACCCCTGCGTCCAGGCGAACACAACCACCCGCGCATCCTTTTCTACATTTGAGTGAACGAAACATTCACCGCAGAACTAGTTTTCAGAGATGATTAAGCTTTTCCCTTTTAGAGGCTGTGTGTAAAGAAATGGAAAGTAAAAAGATGAAAGTTACCCTTCTTGGACAATAAGAGGCATTGAACTCGTCTCCGATGCGCCGCAGCTCCTGTGCAATCCAGATTTCGGGCTGTACGTCCTCTGCTCGCGAGTGAGACTGCCACCGGGAAGCTGCACGGAACAAAACCGGAGCAGTTGAAACAGATGAACAATAAAAAAAAAACCAAAAAAAAACTCTGTTAAACTTGGCATGAGTCGATGGACTACTACTATTTTTTTTTGTTAATCATTACTATTTTTTAGGTTTTCTTAAAATACAGTTTGTAGGAGCTGTGCAGGTGCCAGGCTGCTAGGGCCCGCACATGGCATGCAGTGCAAATGGGACTCGTTGCACAAGATGTGCGTCGCAGGACAGGCTTTTATTCCTTCTTATTTTTATATTATTATTAGGCTTTTATTAATTCAGTTTTTAATTATAAGCTTCCCTCCTCTGGCATATCCAAGCTTTGGGCCCTTCTTAAACAGGGAGGAAAGCCAAGATGCCACTCTCCAGTTTCTTTCCCTAGCAACACCTTCTCTTCCCCCTCTTTCTAAATAATCTTCTTTTCTTGCAGGCACAGCAGCAACTCCTCCTCTAACCTTAAAAAACCTCTGTCTGGATAGTTTAATCAAATTCTCACATTTCTTCCCCAAAGAGTTCTGAAGTGCCCGACGAGAAAAGGAAAACGATTGGTTTTGTCATACTGAGGAGAAAGCCACAATTGGATTTGTACGCCGAGCAACCATGCTTCCAGCAAACTGCAGGGCTTTCCATCCGCAGGAGGGAACCGGGACGCTCGCCTCTCAAACAGCATCTCCCTGCACTTTAGCAGAAAATAAACCCGGCGCAAGAAAACAGTGCTGGCTTACAAGAGGGAAAAAAAAGAGCTAATGTATCAATTATACTGTACTACACATAACTATTTCAGTCTCCACTTTAAGAAGTCACTAGACACCTGAGAAAGCCACTGTGCAATCACCCAAATAGCTGGGGGAGAAAGAAGCAGCCTGTGGCCCAGGCAGGACCCCGTATGGTACCTGTGCCGCCGCCGCCGCCTCTTCCCCCTCCCGCAAACCCAAGTGCAGGATCCGAGCAAGAATCACAGCCTTAAGGAAGACAAAAAAAAAAAAAAACAAACCAAAAAAAACCCAAACAAAAACAAAACAAACCACCACACACAACCCAGAAAAACCCCACTGCACAAAACAAAACAAAGCGTTTTGGCACGACAGCTTAGAAGGAATCACAAGGGAATAGAAATAGCTTCCAATCTCAAAATATTCAAAGGATTAGTGGGACAGTAAAAAAAAAAAAATTAAAAAAATTAAATAAAAGCCTGGCTCCAACCTGACTGGAAAATGTATTTCCAAGCCAAACTAGCGCTCCTTGGCTTGGGGATCTGTTTTGTTTTCATGCTGTAGTAGCGCAGGAGTAGTACCCGCCGCCTGCCCGGGGACGGCCCTGGAGTATTTATTTTCCTCGGTGGTGAATGAAAAGCGGCGCAGCCCTCGCGATACTCCACCCCGGCGCTCCGGGAACGCAAACAGGATTTCGACCAGGGCGGGGCGGCCATCCGAAATCCCACCGCCGTCACCAGAGCCGGCCCCAGGCTGCCTTTCCCAGCAAGAGCTAAACTAGGGGGGGGTAAAAAAAAAAAAAAAAAAAAAAAAGAAAGATGGGACAAGATGCAAGGAGACTTGGGGGTGCAGGGAAAACTGCATGGGGCTGAGGTACCGCCCCCTCTCCATCCTTTCCTCCCTTGCCCACCCTTTCCCCCTTCCCCAGCATCGCACCCAAGGGCTCATCCGCTTGAGAGATGAAGGCTGGGGTTGGTGGCTGAGAGCGAAATCAGGCTGAGGTTTTCAGAAAGGACTTTCTGTGGCGCTGCCGAACAGCGGCGTCAAAAGGGTCCAGTCATAACCGGTCCCAAAACCTGTCAGAGGTGCTTTCGGGGGGGCCCCCCAGTCATACTGCGAGCCGGTGGCCGCCACCGACGGCGAGACGGCTGCCGTGGGGACGGGGACAAACCAAGAGGCCACCAGCACCCCCGGGATGTCTGCGTCTCACGCTAGCCCATGGGATGCTCCAGCCGGGGACCGGCACAGTGGTGCTGCAGTCTCTACTGAGAAGGAAAAATAAAACCACAACCCCAAGTTGCACCTCCAGCCTCCTGGGTTTGGCCAAACCCCCACCCCCGGAGAAAACGTCCTTGGTGAGAGGCTTCAAATGAACAACGTGCAAAGCTCCGGGAGAAAACGGCAGCAGCTCCGAAACAACAGCAATAGGAACACCACCGCCAGATTCTCGGCTCAAGGTTTCCCCCTTAAATTCACCTATTACACCCGGAGGATCTCCTTTGCAGGTAAAGAGAGGTTCATGCTGCTTCTCCCCCCTCTTCTGCAGTGCAGGAAAGCACGCTGGGATCAAAACAGCATGGGGAAAACCCGTTTTACAGAGCACACGCCTCCTCCAAATACATTCCCAAAACCCACATGCGAACCCTGCGCTCCTGCGCCTCTAGACAGGGCTGCTCTTTGAACAAAAAGCCCAATGAAAGAAAACGATCAGCTCCTGCTAAGAACCCAAGACTTGAAATATCAGTCTAAGATTCACACAACCCCATCAAAGGGTGGGTTTCTTATCCTGGGTGACTTTATGGCGAGCGTGCTCGGCAGGGCAACCGGCACCTCTCCTGCAAAAAGCAGTCTCATCTTTTTCCTCCATTCCTCCCCTGGCACGGCCGAATAAACTCACCCCTGCTCCTCTCCTATTCATCCCCCAAAGCATCTTCCCAGATACGCCACGCCAGCGCTGCAACCCTTCCCTCCTCCCATCCAAGAACATGCCCCCCTTCGCTGCTTTCGTCTCATTTCCCCCCAGAACAGCTTTGGAGGCACCCAGCTGTACCCCCTCCCAGCATCAGAGGGGCGAGACAGCCCAAAGCACTGCTGCCCACCACCTCCCGTGCCAGGAACAACTCTTCCTCCAGCAATCAGCGCTTGCCCGCACACAACTGGAGGCATCCTGTAATTCCACAGGGCTGCCTCCACCTTTTTTTTTTTTTTTTTTTTTTTTTGTCTGGCAGGGGCACTCTCAGTGCTTAATTATTATTTGGGCCATCATCACTGAAAACTTTGGGGAGGGTTTTATGAGATTCAGAAGACGCAGCTTCAGGGCAGAGCACGAGCTTGCTTTGCTCCACCAGTCCGCCGCTGCCCACGGGAGAGGCCGAGAGCACCTATCACACACAAACTGCTCTTGCTTACAGGAAACGCCTGTTTGTTATTGTTGTTATTATTATTATTATAGGCCACTGGCGTACACTTCCTAGAGAAGCTCTCCACCTCTCAGCCCGCAGCCAGTGCCTTACAATAGATAAAAATCAGCACATAAAAACACAATAACAAAATGATACCCTTTGCTTCCTTGCGGAGGGATTGACCTGTTTCCCTGCGGAAAACTTAACGGCACGCATCCGGCGGGACACCGCCAAGGCAAGGGGACCGAGGAAGAGGTGCGCAGGGCAAACCCACAGCCCTCTCCCGGGGATAAAACAGCTCCGCAGCTCCACACTCCCAGCTTAACCGTGTTTGAGAGTAGCCAAGGGTCCCATTTAAACAGCTCAAGTATTTTCCATTTGCTTATAGTTGTTTAGGATGATGTCCCTAGCAACAATAACAGAACAAAGGCTCCGGTAAGACCAGCATTTCAACAGCTCTCCTACGGTGATGGAGAAGCAGGAGTGCAGAAGAATCAAGGAAAGCTTACATTTCTTCCTGAAGCACAAAAAAAAAAAAAAAAAAAAAAAAAAGAAGTCACTCACTGCTAAAACGTTGGCTGCAGCTCTCCCTGCCGAGGAACTCCAGCATCCTTGCCTGGCTGTGCCACGTGTGTTTGCGCTACGCGAGGTTGTGAAACTTGCATTAAACTGTAATTACTGCAATAATGTCAGAAAAATCTTTCCTAAGGGCATATTACAGTAAGCCCTCTGCAGCTGTAACCACAGCCATTAACCAGGGAGAGAATAAAAAAAAAAAAAAAACAAAACACAACAGAAAAAAAGAAGATGATGTTTTGATCATGTAAAGCTTGGAGTTGGTGTTTGTTATCCCCCAAGGAACGCTACTGACCGGGTACCTGTCTCGCTCCCACCTTCTCCCGGCAGAAGTTAAAAGGTTTCCTCTAATTAAGGGGAATTAATCGTGAGAAAGGAACAGGGAGCAGCTCCGGCAGGCATGTTTTCCCCACCACTAGAGGCTTCAACCCAGCCTTACCTGGTAAGCCACACGTAAACACATGCCCGCCCACTACCACTCTGCTTTCAAGCGCCAATTCTGGGTTTCACCAAAACAAGCGAAGGGAGTTGTGTGACCCTGGCACCTACGACACCGTGGGGCTAGTGGAGAAAGAAACCCGAGCAAAAAAAAAAACAAGCGAGAAGTCACCTCACAGCGGCACATAAACCTGGCGAAAAGCAGCATGTAAAGCCTTGCGAGAAGCAAGCCCTGACTAGGAAGCTGGATTAAACAACTTTGTCCCCTTCTCCCCACGCCAGGACTGATCCATCTTGGAAAATAAAAATAACGATTGAAAAAAAAAAAAAAAAAAAAAGCACTGGACAAGCGGGTGTTCCCCAGCAGCACGTTTGCTCAGCAGGCCCGGCCAGCTTGCAAAAATCCCACACCCCTGGCTTCCCCGGGCGAGCGTCCAGCCCCAGATCAGTTGCCTGCTGCTAGCCCCCCAGCTTGCCCTGGCAGGGGCTCAAGGGGCTGGGGGTGCAGGGGGGACCTTTTGTAACCACCCTGCAGGTACGGGGCAGGGGGGGAGGAGGCTCGGAGGCAGGGGAGGGTGCAGCTGGGTGCCACTCCAAAACAGCAACGGGGCGCCTGACCGCGGCCAGCATCCCCAAAAAACCGAGACAGCGGGATGCAGGAGGCACGGCTGCAGGTGCGCAGCAAAAAGCTGCTTTTTGCACCACTTAAGGGCAAGGTAAACAAGCAGGGTGAGGAGTGGAAGGGGCTGTTGCCGGGGGGGGGGGGGGTGCGTGTGTGATGATGAGGGGAGCCCGATGGGCGCAGACCCCCCCCCCTCCCCGACCCCCTCCCCACTTCCCACGCGTGTGCGTGTGCGTCCCAAACACCTTACCCATGGCGCTGAGGCAGTGGCTGAGGGCCTGGCAGGGCGGGCTGGGGGTCTGCGTGGCCTTGTCGCAGCTGAGGGGCGCGGGGCTGCGCTCGGCGTCGAAGGAGAAATACCCGCTGGAGGAGCGCGACAGCAGCGGCGACCTCCGCACGAAGATGAAGAGCGGCGAACGGGTGGCGAAGGGGCCCGGGCTGGCGGGCGGGCCCCGCGGCGGAGGCCCCGCCGTGGCGGCGGCGGCGGAGCCGGGCAGGGCGGCGGGAGCGCCGGGGCGCAGCTGCGCGGCCGGGCCCGGCCCCTCCGCCGCCGGCAGCCGCCCGCCCTCGCCGTCGCGTTGCGCCTTCACCTCAGGGGGTTGCTTGGCCATCGGGGCTGCCTGCGGGCGGAGCGGGGCGGCGTGAGGCCGGCAGCGGCGTGAGGCGACGGGGGAGCGGAGCCGCCGCCGCCAGCCCCGGCCCGGCCCCTCCCGCCCCCCCGCCCGGCCCCATTGTTCTGCCGAAAGTGCTGAGGCGGCAGCTCCGCGCCGCGCCGCCCCCCCCGTCCCACCGCCCCCCCCCCCCGCCTCGCCTCACGCCTCACCCCTTCCCCACCTCCCTTCCTCCTCCTCCCCCCCCGCCCCGGCCCCCGCTCACGGTGCTCCCCGCCGGCTGCGGGCTGACCGGGGCTGCCCGGCCGCGGGCTGGCGGCGGTGTGCGCGGCGGACCCGGCGCTGGACACGCCCCCCCCCCCCCCCCCCCCCCCCCTTCCCCGACCCTGGCCCCGGCCCCGCCCCCCCGGGGCCGCCGCGCCCCGCCCCGTGTTTACAGCGCCGCCGCGCCCCGCCCACCGCGCGCCTTCACCGGGGCGGGGCGGGGCGGAGCGCGAGGGGCCCCGCCCGCTGCGCGCGCGGCGAGCGGGCCCTTGCGCACACGCGTGTGTTCACCTACACCCCCCCCCCACACACACACCGGGCACTCGCACCCCCACGCACCCCCCCTCACAGCGGGCACACGTACCCCTACACTCCCCCCGGCACTGAGCACTCGCAGCCCTACGCAGCCTCCTACACCCCCCCCCCCCCCACAGCGGGCACTCGCACCCCCACGCCCCCCCCTCACAGCGGGCACACGTACGCCTACGCCCCCCGGCACCGGGCACTCACACTCTTACACACCCCGCCGGCACTGGGCACTCACACCTCTACACACCTCTTGTGCACTCACACTTTTCACACCCCTCCCTGGCACTCTGCACTCACACCCTTACACACCACACGCACGCCCCTCCCATACACACACTTGTTCCGCACACCTTACGCACCCCTACGTGCACCCTGTTGCACACCCACGTGCACCCCCGACACCCCTGTGCTTGCTCTGCACACACGTACGAGCTACACACGCCCGTACGCAGCCCCTTGCACGCATGTCGCCCCGTGCACCCTCCAAAGAGCACCCTCCTTGCACCTTGCACACCTTCTCCTTGCACTCTCGGGGCACCCCCGTGCACCAGGCACCCTCCCCTTGCACTGTGCACACACGCAGGCGTGCACACCCCTTGCTCCCCACCTCGGCGTGAGGCTGCGGGTGCGCGGTGGCGCTGGTGTCCCCGGGCAGGAGGGAGGCCGGCGGCCCCGGCAATCAGTGTCACCCGGCGGCACCTGATTTTACCGTGGAAGAAAAAAAAAAAAAAAAAAAAAAAAAAAAGAGAAAAAAAGAAAAAAACAAAAAAAAACACCCCAACCCGGCAGCCTCATTTACGATACGTTTTGCATGAACAATCACAATATTATTTTGTGGTGACTAACTCCAACCCGCGCCCTGGCAGCCGGGAGCTGCCGACCACAGCTTCCTCCGGCCCCATCGCTCGCGCCAGCCCCGAGGTGCAGCCTCCTGCCCCCCAACCTAAGAGCCATGGGGGGGGGGCCGGGGGGTGAGAAGCCTGGGTGAAGCTGGGAGCCGCTTGTGGTTCCGTGGCTGGAGCACGGGGGGACACAACCGGGGCTGGTTTTATGGCCAGGGCAGCACAGGGAGGTGAGAGGAGCCACCGCCTGCCTCTCCTCCGGCACGGGGAACGAGGCTCCGAATAAAGACAGTGGCTGAAGAAGGGGGTGGTGCAGGGCTGGGGGTGGGGGGAGCACCCCGCAGCACCCCAATGTGGTATGGGGACGGGAACTGGCGCATCCTTCGAGCAGCAGCAGCAGCACCAGCCCGAGGAGAAACGCCTGCCACGGTGCAGAGAGGAAGGAACAGCCACCCCGGGGCGGGGGGTGGGGGGGCTGAGCTTTGCTGATGGAGCAGATTCTGGGGCTCCACACGGGCCCCCCCGTCTCCCCCAGCATCCCCCCCGCCCAGCCGCAGGCAGCCCTGCAACAAGGCAGCGGTGCCCGGAGTTTCCCCAGCCCAAAACCTGAGGCGGGGGGACACTCTTTTCTCCGGCCAACACCTCGCCTTTCGACACCTCGCCCCCAGCTACCGTGCAAGCGTTGACTTGTGCGTGGAGCCCGAGGACGGCGCTGGCGTCTGCTCTGACATCCAGCCCTCGCGTGAGTCAATAAACACCCTTATAAAAACACAGATGTCCGACACTTTGGCTAACTGCGGGGCGGCCGGTGCTATTTGCTTTTCCTCTACTGCAAGGGAGGGAATTTTATGGGGGAAATGAAAACAAGCCCCAGTGAAACCCCGAGGAGCCCCGGTGAAGCAGCTTGGCTTGCGGCGGGCGAGCTGCGCTGGCCAAGATCTCCGCGAGCAGCCTGTGGCGCTTGGGGACATCTTGTCCCCCAGCTGCCACCCCGAGGGTGTGCCTTTATCAGCGGGGACCGGGGCTCCCCTGCCCTGCCGCCGCCACCGAGGCCACCGGTGCCGAGAAGGGCTGCAAAGGATGGCCCTGCTGCAAACCTTCAGGGAACCAGCTCCGGTCCCCCCCGGCCTCCGTGGGGCTCGTTAGCCTCTTCCTCATCTCCCAGGTGCCCGGATGATAAATGTGCTCCCAGCTTTCGGGGTGACCTTGCCCTCCGTGATAAATGCCGCTCTGTTCGCTGGCGCTGGCACCTCCCTGCCACCGGTAAGGGCTGGAATTTCTCTAGATGGATCGCAAAACTGGTTCCGAGAGGGACGGGAAGGTGGTCTTGGCTCCCAAAAGCTTGCACTGGGGTTGTAAACCATCCCTTGCAGGAGGTCCCAGGGCTGAAATCCCCTTTCCCAGCCCCAAACCAGCCCCGCACAAGGCTGATGTGCAAGGGCTCGGGATGGTCTGACACATGGATCTTGCCCACCGCCGGAGCATCCCTGGCCGCCCTCCTGGCAGCTGCCCCACTGCCTTCACGCTGCTCTGATGGGATGGGAAGGAAAAGGGCCTGGGAGTGTTTGTGTGGGCAAAAATCATTTGGGAAATTCATTAGGAAAACTCATGAGGGAAAAATTTGAAGGCAGGGACCTGCAGCAGAAGGGAAAGGCTCAAGGGTCCCTCCTTACCAGCTTGGCAGCACCATCACCTTGCCACAGTTGGGGTCCTGCTGGCAAGGCAGAAACAGGGCTGAAAATTAGGTTTGTGGCCCCCGCTTTCCTGGTCCTCTGGCAGCAGTACCCCCAGCACAGAGCCGGTGTGGCTCCACGAGGAATCCCGAGCGCATCCCCCAGGATGTGGGAGCCCCCTGAGGTTTTGCCCCTCCATCGGGGCCCAGGGTACGGTGGCAGGGCAAGGGGGGGTCACTTTGCAGAGGCATGAGGGCTACTGCGGGGCACAGGGCCGGCAGGCAGATGCTGCATCTATTTTCTCCTCCTCGTTCATCTTGGTTTCTGTGTGGGCGGCTCATATGAACAGAAAGGTGATGGGGAAACCATTGCACAAGAACAGTCTGTCCTTTCAAACACCTAAATTTAAGCCGGTGATTTTGGTGCGTTTTCAGAGCTCATGTGTGCCCATGATTTTTCAGAGAGCCGCGACAGCCGCTGGCTTCAGCCCCTCTTTCTCCGAGCGCATTTTCCCCCCATGAATCACAGCACAAGCCTCCTGGAACAAATCCGTTTCGACTTTGTCCTCATTCCTATTGTTGTGAACCATCTGAGAGGTATTTGCACCGAAGCCACATCCCAAAGGTCATTTAATTTTCAGCACTTTGGCACGGTACTCCTCAGCAGACGTGGACAGGGAGAGGTGGAATTTGCAAACCCTCCTCCCGCCGTCGCCTCGGTCCCCGCCGCATCCATCCCCCAGCCCCTCGGGGACACCGGGTCGGGGATGCCACATCTCAGCCCTCGTCCTGCGACAGCGGCACGCGCTAACAGCCAATTAGCAAAGCTCCCCTCGGACCCATCGGCATCCGTGTCACAGAGATGCCACCAGCCGTAGGACACTTTCTGGTCTCCCAGATGGAAATTAAAAGGGAGGAATTGGAGGCGAGGTGGAGGGGGGTGTATAATGAGGGTGGTGGGGATCCTGTGTCCGTGGCGTCCCGGTCACCCAGCGATGACCAGCACCGGCCAGCTGCACCTCCCAGTCAGCCCTCCTTCTGTGCTATCCCAGCAGACTGCCCCTGCCACCAGGAAGCATCTGGGGAGGAGGGATGGAGGAAAGGAGACGGTGCCTGGCTGGGGAGGAAGGACCTACTAAGCCGCACAGCCTCAGCAAGCTGAACGCCCCCCCCCCCCCAGTATCACAAAGAAAAACAACCCCCCAAAACAAACGCACACCCCCCCTCCCAACAAGCAGCTGCTCACCAAACCCATTTTTAACTATACAACACACCAACGGAAAAACATGACTTCTTCTTCTCCAACCCATTGTGATAAATGTTATTTCACTCAGCACCGGCAGATAAAATCAAGTTTAAGCCACATGCCTTAAATAGGAGGCTTTATCTAAGCCGGGTTTGGAGCCTGACCTTTACCGCGGCGCCGTGCCATGCTCTCTGCTGAGCGCTGCCGGCTTTCGGCCCCGGGAGCGCGGGAGCAGACTCAGCAGCACCTGAGGTGCCTCCAAGGTGGCACGGGGGCCAGGGAAGAAGAAAGAGGAGGAAGAGGAGGAGGTTTTCCGGGCCAAGGGACCGTATGGAGGGCTGGAGGGGCTCAGGGCTGGAGGGGGTGCCCAGCGGAGCGGGACGAGCGGGTGGCGCACGTGGGTGACGGCAGCCTGTGCCGGGGCAGGCAGCTGGGCACAGATGTGGTGAGAGCAGCCGTGGGACGTGCACCAAGCTGCCACCGGGCTCAGGCACCTGCAGTTGACGTCACCAGAGCCCAAAAGCCCCAAACCTTGCCCACCCCAACGCCTCTCCCACCCAAGGGGGGACTCTGTTGGAGGGACCAGGCATCGCCTCCCCCATGCCTTGGGTCTTCATCCCCCACGCAGGGCAGGGATGAAACCCAGGTCTTTCATGTCCCAGGTGAGCATTGAGCCAGTGAATTTAAAAAGAAAACAAACAAAAATAGAGCCATTACTCCCCCATCAGTTTGCTCCATGTCTCCAGGGGCTACTATGAACATGGAAAAGTTATATATATATATATGAACAGGGGTTTTCAAAGATATGTATCTATTCATTAAAGACACACCTAAAACTTTTCTATTCAGGGTGTCGCTATTCTTCACCCATCTGCAGTGGTGATGGTGACATGGTGATGGACCAAGGGATGGTCCCTCAGCAGCTCTGGGGGCAGAGGCAGCTGAGAATGGTGCTGTCATGACACGAGTGGTCCCTGGGCTGGGGCATCCCCCTGGGGGGGTGTTGCTTTGATGCACTGCTGGCCGGAGGTAATTTGTTACCTGGTTAACGGATATTTCAAGCTGGGTGAAGTTATTTGTTGTCCATAATGGGGCTGAGTGACCTCGTCTTGAGCGACATTAATGCCTCACCTGTATGGGAACCAGGATCACTGCTTTGTTAGTGAGGTGCTTGCAACTTTTAACAACGTCTTTTTTTTTTTTTTTTTTTTTTTTAATGCCTTAAAAACTGCAATTAAAAATTTGTCCTCTGCCGAGTGATGGTAGGGAGATGGTGCCAGCAGCAAGGACTTGGCCAAGGGTACGTGGTGATGAGTTGCCACCAGCAAGTGACAAAGGACCTGGGATAGAGCAAAGCCCAAGACCCCGGCTGGGGGCCCCGGCTCACCACCGAGGCACAGCACGGTGGCAAAGGGTGCAAAGTGAGTAAACTTGGGTTTTCTGCAGAAGAAAAAGCGAGCCACCCACGCGCCAGGAAATCTCTCCTCTCCGTGTGGGTGGTGGAGGCCCCAAGATGAGTTATCTCTAAAGGGCGACTCTGGGGATACCTAGAGATCTTCATCAGCGTGGATTTGGCGCGCGCCGAGGAGGAAATATCAGCGTCGCCAGCTGGGGCTTTGGGGTTTTGTGTTGTTTTTTTCAAAGCTCTTTTTAGCAGCTCATTTTAAAACTTGTTAGAAAATAGGACCTTCCACGCCCCCACCCCCCCCCCCCAGGTTGTCTCTCCATAGACCCATTCCACTGGCCACCACGGCGCTTGGCCCTTCCTGGGATGGTTTTACCCCTTATCCCTCCTGCTTCCTTGGTGTCTGGACCTAAGGTTTCTCTTTAAGGCTATTTAATGGAAAATAATGGGGCACAGGCAGCCTGAACCCGATCCTGCACCAGCACGAGCAGGCAGCACCCCTTTAGCCATCCCCACCAGTTACCCCATCTCAAACCACCACTCCTCACCAGGGCTCAGCTGTAATAATGTATAGCAAAACTATAAAATCAAGGCGATTGCAAGCAAAAATCCCACTCAGTGCATCCCTGGCATTCCCTGGGACGCTCTTAGCTGTTGAGCCGGAGCAGGGCATGGAGGCAGAGGGCCTGCTTGTCAAGGGAGGAGGGATGCACAGTGAGTTACTGTTAACACCTATCTGCCATAGAGAACGATGTGAAACTCCTACACCCACGCGAGCTCCTTCTCCACTCGCAGGGGGGCTGACATTTAAGCTGTAGAAGCTCCTGCCCAGCTGGTGGCACAGCTGGCGGTGACACACCTGTACCCCAGCCGCCGCTGAAAAAAACAAACAAACAAACAAAAATCACTACCCCAAGGTGGGACAGGCAGAAATTAGTATTAATTAGGGGCAAACACACAGGTAAAAACTCCATCATGCTCATAACACAGTTATGCGCCGCTCTGAAAAGTGTTCTGCATTATGAGATGAGGAACTAAATATATCTATTTTTTTTTATTTTTAATACATATGTCAAAACTTGAACCTGGCAGAGATTTTTGCCTGGACAGAGAACAGCTGGCTCTGGCTCAGCTCATAAGAAAATTAAACAGCAGAGGAAAGGGGAAAAAAGAAAAAAAAAGCAAACCCAGCACTGAATGTTTGTATTTCCACCAGCTACAAGAAGGTTTCTCCCACTGATCCGCTTCACAGTGCAACTTGCTGCAGCTGACTTGTTATAACCAGCTGCTTCGTATCAAACCCAAAGGCTTTTCCATATGCCACAAAAAGCCTAACAAGAGGCTAAGCAGGCTGCATTAAAGGGTAATCCGAGAGTTATTTGCCATAAGGGCAGGCAGAACAGCCCCAGCTGCAGGGAGATGGTCCCTGCTGCTGGAAGGAAACATTCCCCGGTGCCGTGACGTGGAAGAGTTTCTCCCAAAGCAAGGAAAGAGCAGCGCTGGCAGGTCTCCCGAGACTGCGGGCAGGTGGCCGGGCAGCTCCGGGGCAAACCCTGTGAAAACCAACACCTCTGGCCCTGCTTGCGGGGAGGCCAGCGTCCCGGCCCTTCCTCAGCATCCTGGGCTTCATCTGCCTAACCTGCTGCTGGCCCTTGCCCAAGCTGAACAACCTAGGCCGAAGAAAAATACCCCTGAAATTCAGACAGAGGCAGGGAGATCTATGAAAGTCTGTTGTTTGTCTCCCTCCTGTGGATAGAGGCACAAATAAAATTAATGCCCTCACCTACCCCGGAGCCCTGCTGATAAAACATCCTTCTTTCTGTCCGTTTCACAGGATTATAAACCAGAGCACTGCCTGAATGTGCCTGGGAGCAGCATCAGGATAACTGCACGCCCCTGGCTGCGAGCTGCCCCAGAGCCCCTCGTGCCGCCACACGAGCACTCTCCAGCTTCTCCGTAGATTAAGTCTACGCGTCACTCGGATGCAGTTTGCAAATCCTCCTCGCTCAAAGCCAGGCTGACAAAGTCCAAACGCTGTGTTTTTGCATTCCGCTCACACTCCAAGCACTAATTTCCCCGTGCGGTGCTTCTAGCTCTCCTCTCCCCCCTGCCTTATCTCCTTTACAAATCGCCCCGGGGTCCCACAGCTCCTCGTTACAGCTCCTTATTTCATCCACAGGTGAGAAGAAGGTCCTCAGTGAGAGAAGGGTCTCGGTGCTGGGACTGTCACGGTGCCCCTGGCTCCTCGGCAGTGTGCTGCGCTGCCGGCCATCCCTTGGTCACTGCCTCTGCTCCCAAGCCAAGAAGACAGCCCAGGGCAGATGCTGCCACGGAGTTGGTGTGTTCAAGGCTCCTGCTAGGTTTCCGAGTTTGTAATTTGGGTAATTCGACTTATTTTGACATTTAATATTTGACAAAAGAGCTATAAAGTCAAGCTCGTGCAAACTCAAGCGAGCGACTTGCGTAGGGAGGAACAATTCAGTGTATTAGTGTGTGGCTGCTATAGTTAAGAAACAAAAATAGATGAAAAGGAAGAGGAGACATTTTTAAAGGAACCCTTTCCTGGCATTTTCCCAGAGTATTTTCAAAATATGTTGCCACAGTAAAGGAAAACAAAACCTCATAACAAACAGAAAACAATCATTTTATTTCCAGTCAGGTGAGATATTTGCCTCGTGGTTTCCCCCTCATCTCTAATAATTGTGTTGTGGCTGGTCAGAAGTGAACATAACGTAAGTGGCAAGCGTGACTTCAGTCCTACCTAATCTAAATCTAAATCTAATCTGCAAACCTCAGTTTCTTTCAGCCTAGAAACTCCTGAGAGAAAGGGGAGAGCAGGAGGGCTGTGACTGTGTAAGCCCTAGACCTCAAAGAGCTGCAAGAGCAGCAGTCCGAGGGCTGTTGCTCATCTGCGCCTTTGTCTTGGCACCAACTCAAAACAGCATTTCCTCTTATTCGTTAATTATCTGCAGCGGCTTTTTTAGGAGACACCTACAGAAAACCTGCCCTCCTTACCCCTGCTGACCACGAGTTTTCCCCCCTCAGGTGTAGAAAGCTACACAGGTTCATGCTCTCGTAGCCCATACGCACTATTCCACTTCCAAGCGCTGCCTTTGCTCCTCTGTGAGGAGATGAGGGAGTTTTCCACGACGGCAGGGTTTCACTCTGGAATTTCCAATACCTCGCTCCTCCCCAAAGGCTCTGTTGACAGTTTTTCATGTTGGGAAAACTAATCCTCGACAACTCACATACATGAGGGTCCCTTCAGAATGAATCATTCAGTGTTTTTTTTCAAAAATCCCAGGGGAGGCAGAAAGCAATTACTTCATCCGTACAACACTTCTCACTGGCTTTTTCCCCCCTTCGAAGTACACAATATTATAACAACTGCCTACAGCCTCCGGCACGCCCATGCCTCCCAAACCGGACAAGTTAAATTAACAAGTCATTTTAGTCTATTTTTCCACGAAAGCATAGAAAGATGCAAGTTACCATATTTATTTTTGAAACAAGTTATTACAAAAAGATTTCACATTTAAAAAGTGCCAGCCTCAGTAACTGTGCAAACCAAACACTTATTTTCGTGACCGTTTGTGTTCTATGAGCAACACAACAAGTCTGTTCCGAAGGAACTTTATTTCCTTTGCATATGACTTGCAAAATAAGTCCTTCAGCCTTTTGCGCAGACCCCCTAGAGAAGGCAGGCTGTGGCAGTTGGGGATGTTTAGCATGCTTTCAAAGAACTCTTTCCACAGGTCAGCGTTGGCAAGCCTGCAAATGAGCAAAACTGCCTCAATAAAAAAAAACCTAAATTCAAGCTATTTCCCATATTTACCCCGCTCCCTCCCAAGTTAGAGGCTGGAGCACCTGCAGACATTGCTGTAACACAACGCAGCGTCCCTTGTGGCATGCTGCTTAGTGAACCAGTGGGATTTTTCCTTGTTAGTTGTCGTTTCTTCCTCCCAGGCAGCAAGTAGCTGAGGGCGCCCTGCAACTCGCCATGCGCGCTCCTGAAACCCTTCCCACGCGTGAGTCGGCAAATTCTACAAAGCTGTTCCCGTGCACTGAACTCGGCTTTTAGGGCATCAAGAAGTGCGTGCAAGCAACACAAAGCCGTACAGAAACTAACCTCAAGCAAACCTGGTACTAGTGAGACATCTTTCTAGACAAGGGAAGGTTTTGAAAAGATTTTTGACACCAACCTTCTGAAGGTTCCCTCAGGCTTCCAGATACCATTGTCATTTTTCACTCGCATGTAGGTACCAAAGAGCATGCAGTAGACAGTTGCTGCAGTGCCGAAGTAGTCTGTCTAAACAAAGTATAAAACAAGTTTCATATTCAAAATGTGACGAGACCACTAAAAATTAGCTGAAAAACGCTCTGTGGAGCCAACAGGGCGAGCTCAGTAAGAAGAGGGCTCAGGACTGTGTTTTTAAAGCAACAAGTTGAAGCTACAACTCTAGTGCAAAAGTCTAATGTTTCTATGCTCCATTTATTCACGCCAGATGCGTGCAGTAACCTCCAAATATTCAGGCTGTCTGTGCAATCTCCTACCTGGTAGTTCCATGGTTTCTGCGTCAGCATTTCAACACACTGAAATCCAGATGTTTCACACTTTGCCGTAAATGCCGTTCCTTCAGGGAAGAGTTTCATGTCTATACCCTGGCCCAAGTCAATGAGCGTCAAGCCATGAGAGAGACCGTCTATGTCACAAGTATCGTTGTCCAGAAACCTTCAACCGTGATGACATGAAGTGATCACGTAAGTATCAAGGCTATGACACCACGATACGCTGACATCTCAGGCAGCAAAGGGAAATACTTGCCTTTCTCCAAGTATGAAATTGTCAGGCTTGATGTCACCATGAATGATTTTGCAGCTGTGGAGCTCTTCCACCATATAAAGAATTTTTACAGCAAAGTAGATTACAAGTGCCTGAGGCATCACCTTTTCAGGCAGCTTTTTGTAAATGTTTATGGCATTCTGTAAACAAAAAGATAGCAAAGAATCATCAGCTACACAGAAACAACTCGATATGGATTACAGGTCCATGCTGATAAACGCAGAGTATGTTCACAGTGAAGGTTCACGAAGTCGAGAGCAGAGGAGACACATGAATATTGTAATGTAATAGCCCTCCAAAAAGAATACAATGTCCCAGAGCATAAACTGATTACACTTACTAGCAATGTTCCATAATTGTAGAGCTCACCAACCAAAATGCTTCCATTTTGAAAGAAATGAGCAGAATAGAAGTGGATGTAGAGATGGGATATACCCGGATTGAGCCTTTCTACCAGTTGTGTTGCTATATAAAACTCCCAAGGGTTGGCAGGCTTCTGGACCTGTAACCAAAAAGTTGATTTACTAAGAAAATCTATTAGCATTAAAAACAGAAGTTCTTCTCAGTTTGGGCTTTCTGTTGTTTTTTAATGGCAGACCAGGCATTTTTCCTCTTGACCAAATAAAATACTTATATCTACAGCAATTAACCTCAGGTCTATACACTCAATGATTAATCCTCTTGAATCAAGGCTTCAATTACACACCACACTTCCATTCTGGTTTATGCACTCTTTTGTTATCTAAAATGTCAGTCTTTCTGCAACATTGATGTTTCTGCTGGCAAGAGTCATTTCGTGTAAGAGAGAAGGCTTTTGAAGTCAAAACAGGAAAACCCTTCTGATTCCTTCCCCTACCATGTTGAATACCTGATGCTTAAAAAAACCCCCAAACTTAGGTTGCGTTCACATACTAGAAAGCTCTCAATTAAGGTGCTACAACTAAAAAGATTTTTGCTGGAAGATTCCATGTTGCAGAGGAGATCTGCAAAAAGATTCCAAAGCTAGATCTGACGTGGAGAGGGCTAAGGGGGGGGGTGGAGTGCGCGCGTGTGTGTCAGTTCAATCACATAACCACATTTCAGCCAAACTGTACTAACTGCCCACGTGCCCCCTCAGCCAGCAGCAGACGCAGGGATGCATGACCCAGTACAACCCCCTGGGGCTGAGCTGACCTCGCAGTTGCACAGGCTTTCCTTTTGGCAGCGGTGCTGATGTAAACACATGCTATCATCTGTTGTTCATTCCTGCACTGAAGCAGCCTGGAGGAAGGCAAGGCAGAGCAGAGAGGGAGCTGCTCAATCTACAGTCGTCATCAAGGCAAGTGTATTTATTAATAAAACTGCACCAAGGAGGTGTCACCCAGCAAAGTCTATGTAATAGCCAGCTGCTGCCAAACAGACTGGCTGCACAAAGTGCCAAAATGTTTGTGGAAAGCTAGTGGGCACACATCTGGAACAAAGAGTGGCCCTTTCAGTGTGATCTAGAAGCAAGAGCAATTTTAGCATCAATCCACATACATTTTCATTTGCTGTGGACTAAGAGCACTTGCACAAGTAGCTGTCTTTGTTCAGCTGAGAAAGACAGCCTGGCTGTAATTCTTCATCCTTAGGATACTTGTGACTGCTTTATAAATAAAAGATGAAGAGGCAAGTTGAGTCAAGAGCATAAATAACTAGAACCAAACCGACATCGCAGCACTCAACCTGAACAAGGCTTTGAGGGTGGACCAATATGCTTTACCTCATAAATAAGAAAACTCAGTAGAACCTACTCAGGGTAGATGTGATTACTAAAAGACTCCAGAATTTTCCAGCACAGCTATTTAAATCAGTACTACTTACCTTGAATATTACTTTCTGATTGTTTCTAGGGTTACTTGCATCCAGAACTGAAGCTTGATAGACTTGGGCAAAAGCTCCCTCTCCAACCAAGCAGTCTACATGGAATGAGCTAGAACCTTTAAGAGATTAACAACATTAAGTCCTGCTTGAAAACTTCACGGAAGAGATATCACTACTCAAAGAGGGAAAAAAAAAAAAAAGCACCAGCCAACGTAGGATATTACTTTAACCCTTGTGCTAGTCCTTCTGTACATGTCCCTCCTTGCTAGCCAGCCTTTCCATAGAAGAGAGCCTGTACTCACTCTTGAGAACAAGACTGCTGTGAAGTGCTACACACTAAAAATCAGTGTTTCTATTTTAGTCTGTCTCCCTGGAAGTAATCGAATTCCAAAGTGCATTCCTTAAAAAGTAAACACTAATGTTTAAATCATACAAGTATGTTGCAATTGCTGTTGTGCAGATTTTGTTGACACAGTACTGCTGCTGCTCAATACAAATTTTGAGCGTTGTGCCACAGATTACAAGGAAAGGAAAACTAGGAAAAATTCCTTACTCAGAATGCCTGATCAAGAATGCTTATGCTACAGAAAACAAAAAAACCCCACAGGTCTCATTTAAAATCTGAGGTTTAGATAATCTGGAAGCTATCTGGATTTATACACAAATAAACAATTAGAAAAATACTCCAGAGGTTCCCAGGAAAACTTCAATATGTGCTTTAACGTGAAATGTTTGAAGTAGCTCTTACCCAGTGAGAGTTGAGCCTTCAGTTTGATGGACGGAAGAGTAGAGTTCCATTCAAAGTAGTTGGCATAGGTGTGGAGTGGTTTAGGAAGCTCTGATAAGAATTTGCCAATCAATTCCTTATCCCAAGGGTTCTCAACAAGGACTTCATTGAAAGAAGAAAAATATTTAAGCTATAAGAAAAGTGTCATTTCAAAGAGGTAACACAAGCTTATACTTGAATGAGTATCACTGATTTAAAAAAACAAAACAAAACAAAACCCCACAAAAAAATCAGAGGGTTAAGTTAAATATTCCTCAATTTTGACAATTCAGCTTTTGTACCTGTTTTCCCTGTCAAAGTTGCCCAGAAAGACAGATGAGCCTCAAAATTAGCAACAAACCTTCAGGCACTCCTGAGTAATCCTGTACTTCAGAATATCTTTGGCAACACACAGTACAGGTACTACCCCCACGCTTGTCCTTCCTTCTGTCACTTGTATGTAAGCAGCGATCTCCTTGCAAGTAGCCATGAGACGGTTTGCTCAGTGCAGGGACCACCTTCACGGTGGAACAAAGCACTGCTGCAAAAACATGACAGTGCCCCGGTCTCAGACTTGATGGAAGAAAACTGTAAGCAATGCTCCGTACCTGCAGATCTAATGCACCGGGCTGTCCTGTCCTGCCCAGCTCCAGACAGCTTCTCGTGGGAAATTCTGTCCACCCCAACAGACAAGGAGTATTCAGTTCTGCTCATGGCAGTCTGCTCACGTAATCTTTGAGAAGCAGCTGTAGCAATTCCTTGAATTCCACTTCCTTGTTTCAAGACATTTCCTTGAAGCTCTCCTTGTTTTGCAATGTGTTCAAAAGCAGGGCTACATATTTAAAGCAAAATATTATTAATTGACAGTACTGCTGTGGTATTTTTGCATCTTCAGTAAGCAAAAATGTGTCAAATGTCCACGCTGGCGACCTTGGCCATAATGAACTTTAAGATGAATAAAATGGATGTTTCTTAAGAAAATAAGATTTGGTCATATCGTGCTACTCATAGTCTAGTAACTTGCAAGTTCATCAGCCAACAGGTTCAGCCCATATTGAAAAGCACGTACTGGTTTTACTTACACAGCCATTCAAACTTTTTGGACAGTTAACTTTTAATTTAAACGTGTCAGAAAACTTTAATCATAGGAGCATTTTTAGAGGCATTATCACCATACCCAGGTTCATTTAACTCCACAAAATGCTGAGATGTATGTTAAGTGGAGTCAGCCTGACACAAATACGTCAGCTCTTAGATTACTTGGAAAACTTGAATCAAGAGCAGCATAGCAGACCTGCCTGCTCTGGCATAGATTTGCCTCACACTCTCAGCAAGTCATGACGTACCTTAGCTTCTTAGTTTTTGTCTGCTTGTGCAATTCTTCAGAAAACTCCAAATCCATTTGAGGTAAGTCATCCCCACAGGCTGAACAAAAGGAGTAGCAACAATAGCAAATGTTTGTTTTTCTCAAGGCAAGCACATTTAGAGTATTATCCTATTCTCTGGAAGGGTTCAAGGCCAGGTTGGAGGGGGCTTTGTGCAATGTGATCTAGCGAAAGGTGTCCCTGCCTGTGGCAGGGGGGTTGAAACTAAATGGGCTTTAAGGTCCCTTCCTACCCAAATCCATCTGTGATTCTTACCAAGACAAGAAAATTAAGCTGCACTGCAGCTGTGAAAGCTGCTAAGGTATCACAAAAACTAGAACAGTACAAGCCTATTTTAAAATATACAAGTAAAGATAATAGCTTGATTTATTTAGGGAGCACATTCTAAGACTAAAGAGGGGCAGACAAGCATAAAGGTGCCCCCAGAAAAAGGTTGTGTTGGGACTTCAGTCAATTCTTTGACTATTTACAACCCCTCGGAAAAGTTCGGAACAGCAGTTTGACAGCACAGTCAAAGCCTTTCTTGTCCCTCACTACCCTCTCTTATTCCCTCAATTAAAAATTCCTGGAAAGTATCTGTGCTGGGTCAGCCCACAGTCCCAGCTGCTGATCTGCAAGGAATGAGTCCTCAGAAGTGGCAGCAGTGGGAGCCATGCCTATGCGGTATTCGGCAAGGCCTGTGAGGTAACCAGGGCCCAGAAATAGAGCTATGCAGTACTGGATTAGATGCTCTCAACCTGAAAGAGCTGTTATTTTACCTTTGTCCTCCAAAACTTGTCGCGAATGTGCCGACAGGTAGTTAAATGGTGTTGATACAAGCTTGGCAGCTCGTGCAAAGTCTCTGGTGTTGTTCGGACTGGGAGCTAACGTTTTACTACTACTGGATACATTCCACACTGTATAATCATCCTTCAAGAACTCCGCTGTCCCTGTTTCTTCCTAGGCAGAAAAAAAAACATAAAGATTTAAAACTAAGCCTTCAAAACTATCCTGCCAGAGCTGCACTGTAACGTACCAGCAGCCTCTGCCATCAGCTTCAATAATGTGGAGCCTGCATGCACAATATTAGAAAAATAAAAGGAATGACAACATAACCTAAATCACAGGTTTAGATAGTTTTGTATCAGACCTGAATATTGGCAATCATCGATACCACAGCAAAGTGCTAGACAGAAAAATGTTGCCCTAAAGAGTTTGGAAAAGCCCATCTCGTTACTTAGTGATCACTTATATCCAAGTGGCCTGAAGTTTGATGCATCTCCTTAGCTATGAGAACTGTTAGGTGGTTATTAGAACATTAAGTGTCTCTTGTTCCCTGTCCTTCCTGCCTCAAACAGATGCCAAATGCACATCAACTGTAGTCAGATTTGTCCTAGGGATAGAGGTCTCCACTATCAACCTCGTAGAAGTTTTGTGAAAATTAACAACTGAAGAAGTTCATCACATTGACAAGAAACGGGAAAGGGTATCTAAGACTTCAGCTAGGTATCATTCGTAAAAATATTGCAGGATTGGGGTAGAACAAAGGTAAATATGACCCCCTCTGATATCCCCTATAACTACGTAACTCATTTTCAAGGCTAATTCTTGTAAGTAAGATCAAACACTCACTTCTGTACCCGCTGTACAGTCAGTCAAGGGACGTTCTCCAATAGTTCTAGGTTCTTCTGGCTTGTTTTTATGCTGTGGGATCCTGACAAAACAGGTAGTTTAGAATAGCTTTTCCCTAGAAACTTCCCCAGGCAGACTGATCATAACAAAGACTTGTTGGTTTTAATTTTTCTTATTTAAATCTTTTTTTAAAGAATCCCACTTGCAGATACTTAGAGAAGTTGCAGTAGCTCAAAGAAACAAGCTATCCACAGTTATCCAGAGAATTAAACATCTCAAGCACAATATCCAAACAGGAAAGTTGCGCAATTCCACAGAGAAGCAACTACAGCTTTCTCATGCCATTTCCACACAGCTGCTAGTGAGTGATTGTGTTCAAGTCAGTCCTGATACTGCAAATACAGTCACAGCAAAATGATAAGGAATAGAATTAACTGTATGTGTAATTCTTAGTAAACTGAACTCAGCTGTTTCTTTTTTAATCCTTACCTGTTGTTCTCTTTTTCATTCTCATCTTCAAAGATAGAAAACGCAGGCACGAAAGGGGCAACAACATTAGCCTTCAGACTTCCATCAGGCTCTTAAAAATAAAAGATAACCAATATCATCTTCACCTAGTGAAGACTATATAAACAGTCGCATTTTCACACCTAACAAGACAGCTGATGGTCACGGCTGCATCCAGCTAGAACAGGAGCATCATCAGAATTGCTCTCAAATCATCTTTCCTATAAGCTCTTGGAAATGGGGAAGATTTTCCTGCCTCAGAACCAAGGCTGGCCAGGAATACAGAAGCCTTCTTGGTTGCCTCTGACCAGTTGTGAAAAACCTCTGTGCTCACTGTTGTAAGACACTGCTATTTTTCAGGCAATTTTAACTGTTACAATAAGCTAGCAATTCAGATACTAGCACCCAGCCTGCAAAATGTTTTAGAAAAAAGCTTTACTCATATGAAGTACCAGCTGTGCCCTTTTCAAAAGTCAGGGTTTAAATACCAGAGAAATCTCTACAGAGAAGCAGCGTGTAAGACACACATTAATAGGCTTGCTAACAGTAAAGCGCTTCCTCTGTTCTAAAACTGTGCATCAAAATTTAGAGTCTGTCACTAAACTAAATTCATTATCAGGAAAGAACTGGCTTATTCACTCCACACGTAATCAAATAACTACTTATCTCAAAATTATGAGGACTGGTGGGAGGGGTAAACAGGATATAAAGGAGTGAAATATCATGAACTGAAAAAAATAGTACTTACCACTTTTTCTGCAAAAGATTTCAAATTGTTCCTCACTTTCTTCAAGAGATGGTTCAGGCAAGATGGGCGTTTGAAACATATCCATGAGAAATCCTAAACCCAGAAATTAAAAACCACAAGAATGTCACCCCCAATAAAAGAAATGTTCAGAGGTTCTTTCATTGTGTATAGTCAAATCAAGTGCCAATTAATTATTATAATTTATCAAATACCAACAGTCGATTATTCCTTCATATTGCATTTAAACACTCCAGACAACTGAACATACACAGGGAGATCTGACTTGGCTACCACATACTTGTTGGCATCATGGCTTTTTTTTTTTTTTCTTTTTTTTTTTTTTTTTTCCTCTTCACGATGAGATTTCAAGTTCTCCTAATAAAGGAGCAAATTCTCCTTTATCTTCTTAGATATTTGGAAAGCTAATGAACATGACAAGCTTTTTGGTTTTTTCTTTTTTTTACAGGTATATATTCAGCTGCAGCAGTTTCCTACATGTTAGCAGTTAATGGGCTTACTATCAAAACAGAAGAACATGGCAGAAGAGTACAAAAGGGATAAAATAGCATCAGGTTATTGTTACACCACATCTGACGTCAGAAATACAACTGCAATTTCCCTCTTAGGATTTTGAAAAAGCAAGGTTTAGAATTGACAATGTCTGTTAAATAATCAAAGACCTTTTGCATAGTCACCCTTGTTTCAGCTTTGGGGGAAGCTCAACATCAACCAGAGTTGACTTATTAACTGCCCAACATTCTTCCACATTGGTCTGTTCTGGGTCTTCATCTCAGAAACAGGAGTCCCTGACAGTACTGACCAGAGCAGCTCTGAGAACACGCTGCCCAAAGAAACCTGGCAAGTGTATCACCAGTGACTTATCCGAGCGTTCACAGGATGTGGCTGCTGGGATGTTATTAAAGCATCTATTTCTGGTCAGAAGTTTTGCATCATCCAGACAATTGCAAAAGAAGAGTACTAATATAATTTGATTTTCCTCTTTGATGGAATGGCGCACATGCCCATCACTAGATAGCCTCTTTGTATATTTGGCTCTACTAAAATTACCAGGCAAGATACCAGTAACTCCAGTAGAACCAGCATGTTATTCCAGGTGCTTACCCAATGCCTCCTTTGTATGAACTGTAGGTGAAGGTTGCACTTTGAACGGTGTTGCCTGCGTTGCTCCTCCCAGTGAGGTGTTTGGAGTGGCTTGAGAAGCATTTCCAGAAGCAAAAGAAGAATTTCCAACTCTAGATGCTAGAAAAGAGAACAGTGAGATCATTTCGGAAGTAGCCTGGGATTGTTTATTAACATTTCAGTAGCTAGCAAAACGTTAGTAAGAGGATTAAACAAGGTGAGTAGTGGAATGACAGCTTAGAATTTTTGGGAGAGATTTTGGCCTGTTCATAACCCTGCTTGGCAGATTCCGAAGGGAGATTGCCCTGAAGGGCAAGAGGGACCTCAGACAGCTGGATGGCCTCTGAGGGCTCCATCTTCAATTCACAGAAATGATCTGTTCTGACACAAAGTCAGGCAGGCAGGAAGCCAGCAAGGACAAACAGCGAACTCCCAACCGTGGAATTGCACAGAAGGTGAGAAGAGAGACTGGCTCCATGGAAGGGCTATAGAAACATTGCCCAAACATGCAGGGGTGGAGTCAGGAAAGTCAAAAAGCTTAGCTAGGATTGGAACTAGTACCCACATGCTATCGATCCCCAGCCAGTAAGTCATACCTATTATATCAGTCTTTATCAAAACTGGGCTTATTACCTTCTTTCGCATCCTCAGAAGTAGTTAGTCTAGTGGATGGCTTGTTAGGGTGCCTTCAAATGGAAGATTAAGAACATTAGCTTGAAATAAAAGCTATTATTTAAATTCTGGCTTCAGTTCAGGACTTAGCAGTACTGCACTAAGCAGTAAGGAAGCCTTTCCCAGTTTAGAATAAAGGAACATCCCAGACAGCAACTAGCGATCCGATTTTTCTCCCCCATGAATGACTTTAGTCACACAAATGCAGTCAGTGAGAGAGCCCTCAGAATCTTGTTAGAGACTGCCCCCAGGAAGTCTCTAACATGCAGCTGCCAATGGATATAAAACCTGAAAGGCAGCAGAATCCTTTAAAAAGGTTGAAATGCAGGCATGAAATACCCTTGTTGGATACAATTTGCCTCCAAGTAACTCCATAATATGAGTGAATGACAACTGGTCCCACTTGTTCTTGTTGGCCAAGCCTACGCAGCCACGCTTGCTTTGATAACCCAGGTTTCTCCCTCTGCCCCCCAATTTTGTTTCCTCTATTACCTAAGTCACACAAGCAAGAGTGCAGAAAATAAATACAAGCACTTTTTTTTCTTCTCTGGAGACCTTTTCAGCCAAGATGTAACGTATGGGATTTGTGTGAACTAAGCATATCCTGTTGTTTATTTCAGGCAGGCCAGGGACAGCAGTGCTGAATAATCACTTCAATTATACACTGAATTTCCTCTTAGTTATTACAACTAAAACACAGGACTTAAGGAATTAAAAACTGAAATAAGGACTGTAAATTTGATCTGTGTCTAAATATTGGTTTCCACACGCTACTTCAGGTTATTTTTTTTTTTTTCAGAAGAGGAAGAGCGAGCCTTTTTTTTTTTTTTTTTTTTTTTCGTTAATTCTCAGCTGAATTGTAGATACTGAAGACTGCACAATATGCAAAGCAAGAATTAGCCTGCTTATACTTACTGATCTCCAGCACTCCAATTAAGAGCCGAGTCAGGATGTGGCTGTTCCCAAGATGAAACGTTATTGAATGGAGGGTGTAACAAACTGTTCTGGAGTTCTCCAAGCTCTAACTGAGTTTTGACTGCATCCTTCTTATATGTTGCTTCCCACAGCAAGGTAGATGTCTTCTGGCGGTCAACAGGTTTCACTGACTGCAGTGTAAGAGGAGCGGATGATAAAGTACTTGACTGAGGCTGGTCTGGCACCAGACCTTGGGTGTTTTGCAGATCTGAATTTTGACAAGATGCTATCCAGTTCTGCTGTGAAGCTGCACTGGGTGTCACATGTGGATGCGCCTTTAGGGATGAAAAATATTCTTTTACACTCAAACACCCCCACACAAGTACAGCCATTTCCATTTTCCCTTTTATTTCTGCATAACTAGAACAGGTTTTCATGCATAAGAGAACTTTCATATGCTGCTAAAACTAAATTGTGGAGAAGCAAAAACCAACTTTTGGGTTTAACAATTAAAATACATGTCAGCAAGTATTTAAAGTTATGCCAGGTGTCTATACTAGTCAGGTATTGCTGCTTGAACTTCCAGATTTGGTTAGCAATTTACTCTGGTTACTGCCTAAAGAGTGGTTCAATTTTGAGAGAGAAGTTCATGAAGACTGCTCCTGTTGATCACAGTACATACTTACCATTGTCTTATTTGGTTCAGCTGATGTTGTAGATGCTGGTTCCAGTCTAGTTTCCTCCAGGTTTTTGGTGAGCTGGGTAAGCTGCTCCAGCTTCTGCTGCAGGGCTTGAAGTTCAAGGACAGCTGACTCTTTTTTCCTTATGGAGTCTCTCTCTTCTTCTTCTAAGGATTAAACAATGATATCAAGTGAGACAGTTAATCAGAATCCAAATGAGTGCCTCAACACAGACGTTACAAGTTGCTCGAATTTAGATATATAGTCTGTGCAACTGCAGGATAACACTTGGATCTAGAGGTGTAAGTTTGGGAGAAGCTGGTATTTCCCACACGACCCCTCAGGGAAGGGCTACACAACACTATCTCACCAGTGGCCTGGCAACCATCAGCTGTCCTAAGGCTTCTTAGCTGAGTTCACAGGCTGGCCTACTGCTCACCTGGTGTGCACTTGTGGTGCCAGACTCAACCATTTCTATTAAAAATGCATTAGCATCTTCCCACTGAATCTCTCCCTTTTCCACAGACTACAATTTACCCATTTCTTCCTTTACCAAATGAGATAATTACTTCTTTTGTCCAGTAACATCCCCTGGGCACCTCTTTTCCCCTCTCCTATAAATGGTCAGATACACAACTAACTTCTGAGCTGCTGCTCTTTATGTGCACTCAGTGTTGGTTTAGCTTCTCTAAGACTTAATTTGTCTATTTGAAAGCCCACCAACTTTTTCTCCAAAATGATACCATTCAGCAAACAAGGGTATTACTCTTAATTACAATCTTTGCCTTTTCTATACCTTGACACCGTCCCAGCTACAAGCACGCTGTCACTGACTATACAAGGGGTATCCCACAGCCACATTTGCCAAGGCCAAGTGAAGAGTGTCACTCTGCTACAGCATGCCTTTGAATGATGGGCCAGGGACAAAGTGTGGCATCATACATAACCATATGAGAGTTTAAAGTGTGCTCTGGGCTCTGCGATTACAGCCTACTGATAGGAACCCAAGATCCTCTCAGTCTTGAATTCCAAGGTGGCAAAGCGCCGCAGCTACAGCTCACATCAGGGTAACTAGTACTGAGTTACTGCTAAGAGCTGTGCACATTTTCCTCCTGTTTTCCCAAAAGTAACATCACTCTTTATAAAAACCTAGGTTTGGAAAGACAAACCCAAGGGATGAGTTTAAACAGTAACTACTGATGTCAGTCATTTGGCATGTTACCCGATGTTTCCAAGCTCGCCCCACCCCGTTTCCGTACCGGGATGCTAACTTTGAGAAAGTTTTCAGGCTTCGGTAGAGAAGTTAAAAAGAAATGAACACAGCCAAGAACTAGTTTTCCAAGAATATCAGAATGTTTCTGAAATAGCTAGATGGAAAGAGAAAAATACCCCATTCTTGCTGTCTTCTGAGACGCTCGTATTTCTTGAAGTATCTCTTGGCTCTTAGCTCCTCAAATGAAAGTTCAGAGCCTTCACATATGAGCAGGTTTTTATCATACATTGCAACCTGCTCACACTCAACAACAGTAGATGATGATTTAGGAAGAACTTCAGATTTTGAGATGTACGTAACGTACTTTCTGTGAGGAAAAATAAGAAAATGCTCTATTCAAGTTTCTTTTATTTATTCTGGGAGCATGTTAGTTTTCCCGCAGTGTGACTTTAAAAAACCCCAAAGACTTACACTTCTTCTCTTCCGCCAGAAGAACAGGCCTGAGTACCAGAAGAATCAGGACCCTAAAGCAGGGCAGAAGAAATAAAAAAATAAAATAGAATTCCAATATTATGGTTAACCATCCATTTTGACAAGATCAGCAACCAGGAAGCCCCTAGTATTTAATTCTGATTGAAGAGAAGACAATTCAAACCATGAGCATGGCAAGAACGTGTCAGAAAGAGAACCCTGTAAGTCACCAGAGCCTGAGGAAGTTCATCCTGAAGAATTTACCATATAACTGTTTGCTGTAATCTCTGAGAGCTTCTGCAAGACAAACAAGATCCCAGAGAACTAAGACAGGCAGGTGTTGTTCTGGAAACTGTAGTCCAGAAGGACAGTGGAACTACCTGAACAGGTAAAAACAGGAATGTAAGCTATAAATCACTTGGGTTTGGTGGAAGAACAGACTGGATGGCTCCACCCAGTTCCTTTGACAAGCTGTCCAACCTCAGGGCTATGGGACAGGCAGCAGACAGAGTCAGCTTTAAGCTCTACTTCATGATCCAAGATATCTTGCCATATTTGCAGGCAATACCAAACTGAAAGAGCCATGAGCACTTTAGAAAACAAGACCAAGTTGAGAAAGGTTACATCAGCTTCCTACATGCTGTCTTTCAGTCTTTAATTTCACCCCCCATTTGCCTTTTATCTGACTGTTCCAGAAAGACTGAAGAATTGTAACTAGCTTTGTCAAACCCCAGAAGAACAAGTGCACTGGATTCTGGTACTTAGCTGAGTTCTTTTTTTGTTATTGTGAGGAAGAGGGTGAAGGAAGACAACTACAGGGATTTGGACTGTAAAGTTGACTCAAGGTCCTCACAAAGTATGAGCAAAACCTTAGCCGAAACCTGTTAGAGCCTGACCTGGCAAGCTACAGAGTCATGAACTGTGACAAAGTCATCTCTTAATCATTTCCCAGCTCAAGAGACCAATTTCTACAAGAAGCCACCATCCCACTCAGGACCAGTCCAGAAATGTCTCTTCTTCCCCTGGCATTATCTTTTATTTATTCTTAAAATAGAGTATTGAAGAAGTAACTTGAATTTCACCAAAATCCAGTGTAGGCAATTTCTGAGAAGCATGACTGGCACAGAATCTATTGATACTGTTATTCCTCCAAAGAATGCTAACCAGCTGGATGGATCACACTCTGTCTGTGATTCTGGAAATGTGTCAAGTGAATACAAACTGGGTCCCTGATGCATCCTGATTGAGATATTTCTATAAAGATGTTATGCTTACAGAATAAGAACATCAGTAATGTTTTTGAGATACACCTGATACACAATTAGAATATTTTAACTTTCTTATTTGGTCAAGCATATCAATCTAAACTTCATGTGAAAGCTCCACATTTTTCTCACAATGTCTAAATTGCTTATTAATAGTCATTTACCTGATTTTTGCAAGGGTACACTGGGTCATTAAGATCTGAAACACCTTTTCGAGGAGCCATTTGATTTACAGCTTGTGAAGTTTGAAGTGGTTTTATAACAGCAGCACCTGGGACAGATAATATAGGTTTGCATTAATGAGTAGAAATAATTTTCTCATTTATTAATTTCTATTAGCTTTAAGCATTGCAAAACTAATACCTCATTTTGAATACACTTCCCTTAAGAATTTTAAATATGGCCAAGGTGGGAGGGGGGGAAATTCAGTTTCTACAGGAAACTTATTTTATTCAGTGACAAAACTCACTGATTGAGGCAAAGCATTCATCTAATTGAGCTACAGCTCACAGCCTCACCTTGCGAAGGCGGGTTCCGAGGATCGTAATTCTGCAGCCAGCTAAATTGCAAGAAATGTCAGTTATTATCATTAAGCGATCTGTCTCTCATTCCTCCCCACCCCCCAAGAACCTTTGATTTCCTTGTACAGTCATCATGCCATGAAATGTAACACTAAAAAGCTCACATTAGTTACAGAATAGTTATTACCGTATTTGGACATATCCTGTTTGTGTCACATTTGCAAAAATAATAAAAGGCAACAATAGGCAGCAGTACATGGAAATTGGGTTCTTTATCATCACTAGAGAGAACACATCATCATAATAAGCACCAACTCTAGCGCTTCCAACAGCTAAATGTTAAACTCAGTTTAGCTGTGTGATAAGCAGAAGATACTGGATATATGTATTATTGTCAACATATCCCCAAGGCAGACTAAAAAAATCCATCTCGGATCAGGAAATTGATGCCTGACTTCACAGTTCCAGCTACAGCCACAAAACAAAATCAAAGTGGGTCCAGGTCACGCAGCAGCTGAAGCGTGTGTTCAGCTGGCAGCATCAACAGAAGCACAGGCAGCTCCAGGGTAGGCTCCAGGCAGCTCACACTCTGGAAAGCGTACGGGTGTCCCTAACTTGAAACACCAGGTGTCATTAGCACAGCCAAATTGCTTGAGCTTCCAAGTAATGAAGTTCACACATAGTATTTCCAGAGTAGGCTGCCTGAAGCAGGCCAGGCTGTGCATCTTTATAGCTTGGATCTACTTAACAGACACTAGACAGAAAACTAATCAATTAAGGGATTTTCTTTCTGGGCCCCACTTCACTGAAGGCATGCCGGTACAATTGTTCTCAATACACCCTCCAAAACATCCAACAAATACCGAACAGCAAAGAAGTATTAAGATTAGATCAATGATTATTTTTGTTAAGGGTAGGTATACCTCTGCTATAGCACAGGTCATACGTATACAAGAAAAAAAAAATCAAAACTCTATGCCATCTGAATAACACAAGTAAAAGAAAGTAAAAGATGCACCAGAATTACCAATACAGCTGTTGCAAGGTCTCTCGTGGCTGCGCCTGGTTGTGAAGTCCTTTTTGAAGGACAGCTCCTGCACCCTGCACATTGCCTTCATTTACAAGCTGCTGAGCCCAAGCAACGTAGAAGTTCGATGCCTTTGCACCAATTCCCTGTCCATACAGGTAATCGAAATACTGGCAAGGAGAAGTGATGAACTCCGCCTGCGTAAGATAAAGATGCATAAGCACTTTCAAAAACATCCAAAGTTGCATGCAAAAAAAACCAAAACCAATTTCTTTGTTACCATCATAGGAAAGCAGTACTTTCTAAAGATAAAACCAGATGGTAGATAACTCTCATAAGCTAAACAGCTTAACAACACAGCTTTAAAAAAAAAAAAATGCTATCCTTCAGCAAGAGAGTGAAAAGTTCTCAGAGCTCACGGAGAAAGCAATACACCTGAATTCCATATCACATCCCTGGATGCTCCTTTTCCTCCCACAGCTCCTTGCAGTCATGGAACTGCAGAATGGTGGGACAACTTTTTAGGATAGCCTAATTCCCCAAAAAAGCATGTACCTACCAGCTTAAGGCAGTAGTTAACAAATCTTGAATCTTGGTAGTACCTCTTGTCACTTAAGAACACCTTCACAAGCTGCTCCAGGAGACCGGGCAAGCGGTTTTGTTTTTCTTGAAGGGGAAGACATCCTTCTACCCACTGCGCATACCTGGAACACACTCAAGCGAGTTACAGCCCTGCCGGCCGCCAGAACCGACGCCAAGGGCCGAGCCACGGGCGCGCTGACCTGTCCCACGGCTCCAGCGGGTCCGTCCCTTGGTAGTTGCGTATCTGAGCCTCGTAGCTCCTGCAAAGCGAAGGGCAGGTCAGGCCGGGCCCAGAGAGGAACGCCCGGCGAAGGGCCAACGGCTCCCCGGCCTCCGTCGTGTGCTAACGCCCCGCAGCTCCGCCGGGCCAAGGGCCCCGGGGCGAAGGCCGAGACCTGCGCCCCTCCCTCATCCTGCGTGCCCCAGCCCCCTCGCAGCGCTTGTCCCCCGGCACGGTCCCAGGGGACCCCGGCCGGGCGCGGCGGCCTCCCCTCACCTCACGGCCGCCTCCATCGCTCCCCTGCCCCAACCGCCGCCCCCGATTCAAACTCGCCGCGCAGGCGCGCCGCGGACCGGCGCAGCCTTCCCATTGGCTGCGCCGCCCTGCCAATCCCGCCCCAGGACCACGCCTCCCCTCTCATCCCATTGGGTGGGGCACGGCCACGCCTCCTTGCCGGGCTGGTGGTGCCGCCATGACGGATCACCCCCGGGGCTCGGGTTCACATAACCCTCCCCAGGCTGGGGAGGTGTGGGGGGAAAATAAATCTATAAAATAAATTCAGATGTGCCTAGGGCAGGTCCGGACAGCACTATCCACTGCAGCTTGGTCGTGCTGAGCAAGACTTGGCTGCTTGCTTTGCTCAGAGTGCCGCCTCTGCACATAAAAAAAAAAACCAAACATGGAAGTGCTGAGTCCCCAGCCCTCTCCCCCATCTCCATAGCCCCAGCTTCCACGGGACTTTGTGCCTGTTAGCAGCCCACAAGCGTGAGGATATGATGCAGCACACCCCGGCGCCTCCTGTCATTAACTCTATGACAACCCATAATTTTTTCAGACTGCTGAATGTAATGTACTAAAGAGCTGTTTAATTCAGCTTACATTGGTCCATATATGCATATACAAGTGCTGTAATACAAGATTCCAGTTATAAGTAGGTATTTCATAACATACTAACTACAGCACCATTACTCGACTAGCACAGCCCAATACACCAACTCTCCCTCTGCTTCCCCCTGAGAGTTGTTCCAGTTTCAACATTTATACGAGACTTTACATGACATAAAGCTCCTTTACGTAATGAAGCCACTTCCGACATCAGCTGCCCCTTCCACTGTGTCATCTGGCCCCCAGGGGCATGAACGTGGTGGGGAAAACACTCAAGACGTGGGGCAGCTGAGAGTTAGCTCCTCCTTGATGACCGCTGCAGATCGCTCCCCTCACGCAGTGCTCTCTGAAGTCAGGTTACTGGGTACGGCAGTGGTTGGGGGCAAGTTTAAGATCTCTTCAAATGAAGGGCCTTCATCCTCAAGGGGTATCTCTGCCTCAAACATACGCTGGAGCAGAGCGTCAACCGTCCTGTACCCTGCAGGAGGCCAAAAAAATAAAAAGTCACTGTAAGCACCCATTCCTGCTCTTCAGAAGTAGTTAGGTAGTAGCTACCTTATTCAAATGCTCTTACTCAAATGTAGCTCTCCATGCTTTACACTAAATAGGCAAGAAAACAAATGCCCCAAATGATGTTCCCTGGCATTTTACCCCCTATACTTTTAAGCACTCTGAGCGCTTGTAAAGGGCAAAATCATTATTTTAATATGTTAAGCGCTTCTATTCCCAGATTTACGATCCCAATCAGCTGTCATGCTGAGAAGCATGAGCTTGGGGAACTGCTAAGGTACACCAAGAAAGTCAGAAGAAAGAGTAGTCATTAAGCTAGAGGAAAGGAGCACATAGTCACCCTGTGATCCAAGCCAGGAGGAATGCAAAGCGCATATAGGAAGGAGAAAAGAAAGCAGACTTCTTGGCAACAGCAGGACCTCAGCCACCATGGTAGAGTCTCCACAGACTGGCCACTGAAAACAAGCACGCACAGAAGGGCCGAAGTAGAAGAGAAGTTGCTACAGAAGTAAAAAAAAAAAAAAAAAAAAAGCACCCACACCCAGCAAACTAATTGGAGCATCCACAGCTCTCAGTCTCCAGCTGAGATTTAGCTGCTTTTATACTCCAAAGGAAGCAGAAGTGTTTTGGAGCTTCCCCAGAGAAGGGGCCACGATCAGGGGCCATTTCAAGCTGTCCTCTGAAACAAAACACTGGGTACACTGTAGGGCTGCACTTACGTTTGGAGGCAATTTTAAACACCAGCCCTTTAGACTGTGGCTTTGTTCCACCTTCCTCCTCGAGGTTGTGCTCAGCACTCTCCATGTTGTCAAGGAGCTGTTCATCCTGGAGCTCATCCCTACACAAGAAGGACCAGAAATTACCATGGGTGAAGGACATGTCCTACCCCAGGGGCCTGCAGGTACCCAGCAGCAATGGATTCTCTCAGGCGGGGCAAGCACCAGCCATGATGTTAGTCTCCAGCATCTCCCCTGTCCTCTGGGCAACAGCCCTGGGCTGGGAGAGCTCAGTGAGGCAGCCACAAGGCCAACGCAAGTAGCCTTCTGCTAACATCTCCACAAAGCCTATGCAGTCATGACAGATTTTCAAGAATTTTGCGACAAGGAAGAAGTCTCAGCTCACACCTCAGGACAGAGGGTGGCTTTTTCCTCTGGTCCCACAGCCCTCATCAGATGTGCCAAGCCAGCCACATCCAGCACTACCCTTTTGTGGGGCTTACTCTTGAACTCCCATTCCCAGCTCCTGGATTTTCTGTTCAATGGCTGTTTCTACTTCACTCTTCTCTAGGGAGTACTCCACAAAGAAAGCTTCCAAAATGAATGACACAAAGATGCTGAAAGACATGATGAGCAGAAATAGATTACCGCATTTCCTTAATGGCATTCCCCCTGCTTTTTGGTCATCAACTACCGTCTGTGTATTCCCAGCCTCATTCCCCAGCACTCCAAACCCTCCTCTGCTGGAGATGGGGAACTCCAACTCAGAGCCACGTTCAGTGGAGGTAAGAATAGATGCAGCAGATTCCCCTATGACCCATGTCCTGGTTGTAAACATCACACCATGTGTGACCCTGGAGCCATTATCAGCGCCCTGGCAGGGGCCAAGCCCCCTCTTCCCTCCAAAGTGGAGGGGAGCAACCCAAAACTTACTTGACAATAATGATCACCATCACAATGTGGAAGGCAATGAAATACAGCTTTGCAGGCTGAACCGTCACACTGGCAAATCCATTGGCAAAGAGTACAACAGGAGTTAAGGGCAAGTGTGCTACAGGAGAAGAACATCATGGTGTAGAGCAGTGCCAAGGGAGGAACCAGGTAATACTGCCCAGCAATGATCTTCTGAACAAAGCCCTCTACAGGGACCACGTCTGCACTACGTGCACTGGTGTGTGCAATACAAGGGGAAGGGCATGCACCACCAAGCTCTAGTTTGGACTTTCTACCACAAAGGATATCATGCCACTGGTTGACTACAGTGAGCTCCATCAGGACAATGAAGGACGATGCAAAGTTGTTGAAGTTGTTCTTGCAGTATTTCCCACGGGCAAACAGAGAATCCTTGAGAGCTGGGTTTCCACACTCCAGGGCATGAGGAGCATTTGAGTTTGCAGGGAAGAACTGGATTTTCCCATGGAATAGCTCCATGCCAATGACAGCAAACACACAGTACACAACCTAGGAAGAGAAACCCCATTGCTTGCTTCTCCAGTGAGCAGCAAGCTCCATGGCAAGTTCAGAGTTCCAGTAAGTTTTCCAGTTTTTACAGACACAGCAAGCTGCTGAGGAACAGCACTGCATCCAAGAGACCCAAGCCGCTCTAGAGCAATTACCAGGCAGGAATAAGTCAAGAACTTCAGCCCAAATACATTAGATATTTTCAAATCATAATAGAAGCTATTTTTATCATGTTATTTGAGAAACAGGTTTCTCGTTCAACTTCTTGCCCAAACCATAGTTTGATTCCTTATGGTGTGAAGCTCACACTGCACAGAACATCCTCACTTCCCCGTGGAGCAAAGAAGGGTATCCTGACCTGGCAACTAGCAGGAATCCAACCCCTTTGCACACATTTATGTGTGCAACAACCAAGAATCAAATGGACACTTACAGTTTCAAAGACTCGCCATCCAGAGATTTGCATTTATCCTCTTGGAAACAGCATGAGCATGAGACTTAAGACACATTCCTGTAGAACTGGAGTACTTTGAGCTAAGATACAGGGATTTCTTACCAGAGTCAGCCCGCCAAATGTCAACATTGTTGGTACGATGTTTATCAGTGTGTTCATGATGACACGGAACCTACAGCAAACGATCCATGACAACACCTGCTGTGGGGAGGCTCTTTTAAAGCCCACGCTTGCTTATCATCACACTTAAAGACATGTGGGGAGCACATGCTGCATGATCGATAAGTCTCCAGAGAGGCTGCAGCAACTGGGCTCATCCCAGGCACGTTAAGACAAGGCCTGGGGATGGTTTGTTGAGTGGCCACAGTCAGTCCAAAGCAGCCATGCAGCACAACTCAAGGCACTGTTTCATCCAGCCTCTGACACAGCCTGCCACTCCCCAAAAACACACAACCATATCCCTATCCCATTCTCTTCGTTACCTTTGAATGCTGTCAACAATCCTTATTAGCCTGAGGACCCTTAAGATGAAGACAATGTCCAGGATCTGTTGGCTGTTGTACTTGATGGCTGAGAAAGGAAGAAAGATTCTTTTTTTTTTTCGTTGTTTTTATAAGCATAGAGGCAAAGCATGTTCCTGTAACTGTGATGATTATGTCCTTGTTAAACATTCTTTATAACAGTTAGTTATATAAAAAAAAAAAGAGAGAGATCGGGCTAGGTCTTAGAAACCCTATAAGAAATTCATCATCTTGTCAAAAAGCCTCCCAAGCCCAAGGTGATGGCAAAAGACAACTCAAGACCACCAGGTTTCCCAGATGCATGCAGACTGCTTAAGCTGCACTTACTCGATTTCAGAGTGGTATTGAGTATCGTTGCAGTCAAGGCAGCAAAGATGATGAGAGTATCAAACCTAGCACGAGGGAAGGCAGTGCTGTTAGATCTGTGGTGACAGAATGGGAGCTTAAACTGCCACATGACATATAAAAGTAGTGACCCCTCTTTCCATACATCTGTGCCAGGCAGCCCTGCATCATTTCAAACTACTTGCAGGGTGGGAAGATGGGAAAGCTTTGTTTAGCAAAACACTTTCCTCTGCCCAGCCACTATTTTCACATGCTGCAGAATCACTTTTGACTGAGATAGCAGAGCAGAGAACAATAGTCTGTCAGAGCCAGGTTAGGCCAGGAAAGAGCACAATGTCCCCTGATGCATACAATCAATTTAATTACACCCTGATGCATGAGTTAAGCAGCCCATTTCTCTAAAAGACTTTCAGTTCTTGAGGAGCTCAGCATGAAGACCTCACACTTCACACCACCTTTATCACACTTCATCTTTAACACAAACATTCATTCCACTCACCAGTTCCAGAACTGATTTTTGCCAAAGAATGCCCTTGGTTCATAAGTGTACACTTTCAGGAGTATCTCAATTATATACAAAGCAAGGAAGACCCACTCTGCATAAGAAATATAAGGGGTTTCTTCATCCAGAGCAATGAAGATAGCATTTATTAGAATGATCACATCGTAAGTCCAAACAAAACCCCTGTAGGAAGAAAAAGATAAATCAGTTTTCCACCCAGAAGAAGTTGAAAGTTACACAGTTATTTCAGAAGTTCTTTACCTCCCCTCTCAAACATTGCCATTTAGAACTTTTCCCTCAAAGTCCAACACAAAGCAGAGCACAAGCCTTCACCACTGCCAATGCTCTCTGTGTTAAACTCTTAGAGACTGACTGCAACCGAGTTTCCAACAAGTCAAGCAGCATTTCCCAAACAGCAGGACTGGATGAGTAAAAACAAGAGACTATACAGAATTGGGAGGGGTGGCTGGTACAACAGATGGGTGTGCTGGAGTCGGAGGGACCTGGACAAGCTGGGAAGTGGGCAGAGAGGAACCCCACCATCTTCAAAGGGAAATGCAAAGTCCTGCTCCTAGGGAGGAATAACCTCAGGCACCAGGCAGGCTGGGGGTGAACCACCTGAAAAGCAGCACTGCAGAGGGTCCGGGGAGGGGGTCTTAGTTGACAAGTTGAACACGAGCCAGCAATGCATCCTGGTGGCAAAAGTGGCCAACAGCATCCTGGGCTACATTAGCAAGCGGTGTGTGAACAGCTCCACAGAAGTGATTTTTTTCCCCTCTCTCAGTACTGGCGAGGCCACATTTGGAGTACTGTGTCCACAACTGGGCTCCCCAGTATAAGAGACATGAACTGGAGTGAGTGTAGCAAAGGGTCATGGGAATGGTTAAAGGTTAGGGTAGTCTGAGACGTTACACATGGAGAATGTCGGGATTGTTCAGCCTGAAGGGGAGGAGGGTCAGGGGGATCTCAGTATCTATAAATACCTGATGGGAAGGCGTAGAGAAGACGGAGCCAGACTCTTCTCAGTGGTATCCAGTGAAAGCACAAGAGGCAAGGGGCACAAGTTGAAATACAGAATTTTCCATTTAAACAAAAAAACTTTTTTTTTTTTAACCCAAGAGTGGCCAAACACTGGAACAGGTTGCAAATAGGTTATGGAGTCTCCATCCTTAGAGATACTCAAAACCCAGTTGCACATAGCCCCGAGCAGCCTACGCTAGCTGGCCCTGTTTTAAGTCAAGGGGTTACACTAGACCATCTCTAGATGTTCCAATTGCAGTGATTTTGCAATTCTGGGAAGACTCGCATGTGAAACAGCACTACTAGCTCATGGTATTAACTTGGTAAGACCCGATGAAACAGCACAATGCAGCTTTGGAGCAACCTCTGAGGTAAGATCACCTTTAAGTGAAGCATTTAGCCTGGTCCTTCAAGGCTGGTCATAAAGCACTTTTTGCATTCAGTAAAAACTATTTACTCTCAGCACCTATAGAAGATCTAAACAAGTGGGACTGGAAGAGGTATGGACTCGCCAATAGCCAAGTCTAGTTTTGCAGCATCACTGAAGGTAAGCCAAGAGCAGAGCTGGTCCACAGATCACTTTTTTAAAAAAAAAAAAAAGAGAAACCAATGTTTGCCTAAATGCAGTTTGCACTTTCCAGCATGACACCTAGATGAGCATTCGCTTGCAACACCACTGCTCTGCAGCCCTTTGAACGTTAAGAGCTGCTTACTCCAGCAGTAGAGGCTTACCTGTGCCTAACCATGCTGCGCAGGAACTGACTCACTGCTGACTTGTACACACGAGGCATCCACTGCCCCAGAGGATGGCTGCGTATTTTCAGGGTAATCACCTGGATATTGAGGAGATCTGCCAGTTGTACAAAGGACTTCTTGTCTACAATAGGGGAGAGCACTACATATCAGTCTGCTGTCATTAAAGAAAGACAGTGTCTGGCAAATGCAAACCTGTAGGCACACAAGTTGCGGCAGTCTAGACTCAATATCCGTTCACTGCAGCAGGCAAAGCACATGCCCAGAGTGGTATCCACCACCAAACAGGCTGAACTCAGGACTCGATCAGCTCATCTTGTCCCACTCCTGGGGGAGTGGCTCAAGCAGCAGGCCAGCAACTGACACAAACCTTTTAATGATCAGGATGGGCACGATCTAGCATGAGGAGACTGACCCATCTCTCCTGATATCCTGTCTCCAGCAGGAGCAGAGTGAGAGGCTCCAGAGGACTGTGTGGGAAGCCACATTGCTTGGAGGAATCTGATAACAAGGGAGACTTTCCTTATCCTGTGCTGAGAACAGGAGGTCCCATTCTCCATGGTAAGCTTGGCCTGATGTCAAATGGCCATGAAGAGCTGCCCACAGCATACATGACACAGGCTACAGCATAGGCAGAAAGAACCACCTTTCAGGACTTAAGCAATCTGTAAGGAAGCAGGAGGGGGGGCCTGGAGTCCCTCTGGGTCCATTACAGACCACAAGTCCCGGTGCCAAAACCCTTGAGGCATCAGGGTCCTCCCCCATCCCCTGAGCATAGCAGTGCCCCACTGCTCACCTATAAAACCCTTCTGCTCATCATCTGAGATGCGTAGCAGCAGCTCTCGGTGGGAATTGCTGATATCAGGAGCCACCAGCTTCACAAGCTGCTTCCACTGGGATTCTCTAACCACAAACTGTGATCCTTCCTCTTCCTTCAGGAGGTTGAAGGCCTCTATCATCTTGCGGTGCTTCATGTAAGCCAGCTTACGGACCTCATTCTAGAGAGAGTATTGTAAATCAGACAGCTTTCATCACCCTTCCTCCTCCTTTTTTTATTAAAAAGGTGTCTTATTTTCATGGCATAGAGATGGAAGACTCAGAGGAACACAGTTGGAGTGATATTAGACAAAGTGCAACACAGTCAGCGGGGGGTGATGACAAATGCTATTTAAATGGGCAACAATGGACCCTCTGCACAGCACTCTGGAAGGATCAGTAAATTGCTTGCTGCTGGGAGATGCATTGAAAAACCGGAAGAAAAGAGAAAGGATAGTGTCTAACAGGAAGGAGATGACAAAGATCACAGGATCTGCATGTCCACAGGCTGCAGAAGCAAAGAGGAAGTGTCCACACATGCTTCCCATGCGTAAGTGGATACTGCTGAGATCAGGGGTGGAGATCCTCCTCTGCACGTGATTACAAGCAGGCTAAAGAACTTTATAGCCTTGGTAGAGCAGCTGCTGGGAAGACCTAGCAGCCTGATGACTGAGAAACAGCCAATCCCCTGATGGGAGCACCCAGAATTTCCAACTCTCACCCTTTGATCACAGGTACCAAACTGCACCTACTCAGTTTGAGTAGAAGCAGCAAGAGTCTGATTTACTTAGACATCTACTTGCTTTAAGAACATGTGCAGTAGCAGAAAAAGCATGCTGTGTGCTTATAGCCAACCAAAAATCAGTCTCACACACATAGGCAGCGTTTCTGAGCTGGGACTAAGCCTCTAACAGCAATAATGCAGAGACATGTGCTTCCTATCTGTTGCAACCTCTTGGGTCCACAGCACCATAGAATGTTTCATTGTTAAATGCTAAAAGAACTCACAACAATCCCTGTGATACAAAAGGTGGACCTGTGCTTGTTATTTGCAGAGCAACTGCAAAGGCAAGAAGCTGAAGCCACTTCTCTGCACATTCCAGACGCAGACATTTTCTAAGGGAAAGCCAGGTATTTCCTTACAAGGTTATACAGAACAGCAGGCAGTCACTGATCACAATTCACCGCTCCAAACATTACCTTCAGGTGTTTTTTGTAGTTGTTGTACACAACAGCCAGGAAGAGAGACATGAAGATATAAGTGTTGACAATGACAAAGGCAATGAAGAACAGGGCATACCACGAGCTGGAGTCAAATGCCGGCATCCTAGAGAATGGGAGAGAGATTTCTACTTACTAGGCAGACAAACAGGGAAATATAAGCCATGAGAAAACAGTCTTCCAGATGGATTTCCGAGTACTGTTTTGGATAGCCAGATCAAACTGGCCAGATAATACCAAAGTTAAAAAACATGCATTCGTTCAGTGAGAGAACACTTTTCTTCCACTAGGTTTTCATCCTAGTTTATCAGGCCCCAACTGAAGGGATGCAGAAGAAAAAGCACAGAGATTAAGCTTCTGTCAGTGTAGCCATGTTTAAGTGCAGAGTTTTTAGGTGATGTTGCAGGCATAAGCTAGTTATTGGCTTCACAGATCCTCACTGCACTCAGACCTCCTCTTCCACTTACTCTAGTGGGACTAGCAGCATTATTCATTGTAAATGCTCAGGGTCCCTGTAACATCCCAGTTCTGTTCAGTACATCTTTGGCATGTAACTGAGTATGCCATTCCTCCCTGCTCCCATCTTTGATGGCACCTTCACAGTACAAACCAAAATTGGAACCCAGTTAGAACAAGTAAGGATGGAAAGCCCAACCCTCGCTTAAGTGTAAACACAGCTGTGCAGATTAAAAAAAGTCTGCCTAGAACGCCCTGCAAGTATTAGGAGAGAAAAAGACATCTGAACAGTAGAGCACACACTGCCTTTTCACAAAAGGGTTTTAATCAAAGAATGCGTTTGTCTGTCCCTCTGGTTTAAGCCTTCACCAGCTACTGGGTCATTTGGAAAGCAGTATTTTTAATGCATCTTCTCTAAAAGCCTTCCTAACCTCAGACCGTGGTTCAGAACCATTTATCAAACAGATGGCCAAGAATTTATGAAACCCCTGCAGGCTGGAAAAGTAAAAGCCCTGTTTCTACTCCAAAATACTTTGTTGTGCAGAACACAGTATTGTTCTAACCAGAGGTCCTGCCACTAGGAGCAGGACACTAGCATTCACAACAGAAAAACTGCAAGCTCAGCATACATACATGACATCCGGGCTGTTTGCTGTCGTCACCAGGACATAGAGGTCAAAGACAATTTCCAGATAGTTTTTGAAATACGGCAAGCCTTCTGCTGTCTGGAGATTCCTAGGAGGAAAAGGACAATCTGAAGTTAATCACAGAGATCACATATCCCACCAGAGAACTGCACGTATCAGCAGTGCTTGTATTCACTAGTAATTGTTTGGAGTTGCCAGGTTCCCTCCTGCCCAAAAGCATCACATGCATTCTTCCCACCCAGCTCTGAGTAAAAGAAGTATTCATACCTCTCACCAAACAGCTTCAAGGCCATGAGGGAGAACATGAGAAGACTAAACATGAAGAGCAAGAAGACATAGGTGATCTCTGGCAGTGTGTTGCGGATGCTGCGGAAGGCTCTCCGAATCTGCCAGGGAGAAGGGAAGCATTTAGAGGCAAGGTGGTACCCGTTTTTCCCCTCAACATCCCATCTGGATCAAACACCTACACATGGACAGGCAAGCAATGTGAAACACTGGTACTCTTCTGTTGCCTGGCACAAGAGATTGTGACCCAGATGTGCCAGCTCTGTTCTGCTAAAACCTGTGCAAGGGTACCAGGCCTCTCCTGGTCTCCAGGGAGATGCATTCCCCATCTCCCCAGAGGAGATGGTAGAAGGAGAGACCCTATCTACATACCATCATGAATTCAGCTACCTAAGGGACAGAGAGGCCTGTGGCACTGCCAAGATGCCCTTGCTGCAGGGGACTTGTCAGGGACAGAAGCCCATTGCTCCAGGCCACAAACACACATGCCCTGAGTTTAACTGCTCCCTCCCCCAGGCCTTCACACTACAGCAGTTTATTCATTTTTAAGTCAGGCAGCAGGGCAAAGATCTCCCTGTCACAAGAGGAATCAGAGTCCAAATCACCCACCTGGACTACTAGTTCAGTTTCTGAGAACAGCAAGACACTTGTGCTTGTTTGCCTGAGAGACTTCCGGAAATAAGTAACCCGAGCCCTGACCCAGGGAAAAACAGTTTTCTTGTCTTCAGTGCTGCTCATGCTCACACCTCCCGAGGACAACATCGAACTCTGTCTGCAAACAGAGGCAGCTCCTTCTCGCAGGCTGGATTAAGCACAGCCCATGGGCTGACCTTACAAGAAACATTCCTCCCTCTCCATGCAGTCTTACACTTTGTTAAGAGTGATCTTCCCTTAATCATCACAGCACCGTGCTGGTGAGAAGCTCTAGTTCCAGCCCCAAGCACGCTCAGGGCTCTGGACAGCAATAACCCAAGCCTGTGGGTACAGGGAGAAGTCTTCTGGTACTCTGCACAGAGCCCAAGCAGCACCAGCGTAAACACACCCTTTTCTCCATCTCAAATTCTTACTTCAGGGCACCTCCGAGAGAAACCTTCACGGACAGAAACCTAAGTTCTGCCATTTCTGCACATCCCCTGGATCTCGGGAAGCAGCAGGCTGTCCAAAAATAGGACACTGCACCAGGGGTACATCCCACGAGATCTCTTCCTTACCTGGCGACTCTCTGCAAAGTTGATCAGGAAGATAGGCCTCACAATTCTTGACCATCGAATACTCCTCACGTTGTACATCTTGAGGACCCCATATATGGCCAAATCTGTTAGGCATAACTGTAGAAGAAAGAAGGAAAATTCCCAGAAGCAATGTTGAAAAGGAGTCTAGATGGTGAAGACAATAGGGTTACCTGATACAAGACAGATGGACACACGACAGGTTTGTCAGGACAGGCCCAACTGTTGGTTGATTTGGCCACGACTCTTGCAGAGCCCTTGTACATCATGCCTGTGTCACCAGGAGAGCGACAGGAGGGAAAAGCCACCTCCACGTTGGCCACTTCAACCTCAGAGGGTCCCCTAGGCCTAGCTCACCAGGATTGCAACCATGATGCAGATGTTTTTGGTATCCTTCCAGAATACGTTGCGAAGGGTGACTTTTGCAAAATGCGTCAGTCGGCCAAAGAACACCAGAAGGCACAACACCTCGGCCATAGATGTGACCTGCAGAGAGAGAAGGGGCCCAAGTCAGGACAACCAAGAGCAGCACGAGCCCTCTTCGCTCAGATGAGCATGGTCATGCTAGGGTACAGAGAAATAAAAAACCAGACAGAATCAGCGTTTTTCCAGTGGGTTTTGCTGTCAGCTGTTCACAGGCTCACATATCTGGCTCTAAGCAATAGTTTCAGGCTTCCTTTTGTGAAATTCCCTGCCACAGGCAGGTCAAAGCCAGTAAATTTGTGTTTGCTTAGGATTCAAGGAGCACATCTCTCAAACACACTAGTGCAGAACAAATAAAAGCTACAGAAAAGCCAGTCCTAAGGGCAACACTCCACTTCTGCTTTCAGGCATGAAGACTGGACTTGGGTCACATAGAAGACTGGAATTGTTCTCCAAGATGGAGAAAAACAACATGACTTTGTCTGCAGTCACATCAGCCATTGCTGATGGTCACAATGGCTCCCGTAGTCCCCGTCTAACTCCTGTGCCCTTTTTTGTCCCCATTTCAGTAAATCAAAGATATCAACAGAAATATCAACATCAATTATCTGACACCCCTGACAACTAGTTTCACGCAAGAAACCCTTGCTTGCTCTAACCAAGCAATACAATGCTAACTGCATTGCTGCTTCTATACTGAAAACTTACCAGGAAGGGGAGCGGATACACAGCAGGTTCTTCAAACACTGCAAGGGACAGGTTGAGAAAGATGAAGAAGTAGGTGGCTGTTCGCATAATCCAGTGGTTATAGAGATAATAAAGCCTGTAGAAAGAGGACAGTAGTAGGTTCCACATAGGTGAGGGCTGACCAAGCTTCCCAAACTCTTCATCCCCACAGAGCGCTGCAGCTTCAGTCTTGAAATTTTTTTTTTTTTTTTTTTTGCTTCAGGGAAGGACAATTTTTTGTTTCCTTTCCCAGATGGGCTAAGCCCCATTCAACACACACATTTCACCTTAAACGCAGTTCCCTGCACCCCACCCACCCAAATTTCTCAGCCGGCAGGCAGCGAACCCGAGGTCTCCAAACTTTGTTGGCTGTTCCCCTTGGGACACAGTTGTGGGTGGTTCTCCCCACCCCAGCTCGAGTGCCCCACACCACCGCATGCTGCCTGCCAGACCGACACGGAGCCTGGCTGCGACGTGACAGCGCGGGTGTTTGCGGGGACACGGACCCCCACCCCCCTCACCTGACTGCCTCCGGGGAGGTCTTGAAGGGAATATTTCTGTTGTACTGCGCATCGGAGACAAACGCTGCTGCCAGCAGCAGATCCTGTGGAAAGGGGGAAAAAAAAAAAAAAAAAAAAAGCACAGACAGGAGGTGATGGAGCTCGGAATAAAACTTAAAGCAGGCATTCTAAGGAGCACTATCCACCCCGGGGCACGCTGTGCAAAGGGGTGCCGCGGGAGTGGGGGTGCCGCGGGAGTGGGAGTGCCGCCCCCCACGCCTCCCGCTACCTGCGAGGCCACCTCCGCCATAGCGCGGAGCAGACGCCGCTCCTCCGCGTTGCCGCCGCCTTTAACGGGGGCCGCCGCCGCCGCCCCGGCGGAAGCGGGCGGGAGGCGGGGGCGGGGCGGGAGGCGGGGGCGTTCCGGGGCGGGGCGGGAGGCGGTGTCGGCGCTCCGGGGCGGGGCGGGAGGCGGCGGTGAGGCGGGGATGGTGCTGGAGGCGCTGCGGCCGCGGGCGGTGCGCTGGGCGCTGCTGGTCGCTTTCGCGGCCGGGGTGCTGGCGGGCTGGCAGGCCGGCCGTGCCCGCCGCCGCTTCCTCCGCTGGCGCCAGCGCCGCCTCCAGCGCCGCCTCGCCGCCGCCCAGGAGCAGCTGGAGGCGGCCTGACCCACCCCCCCCCCCCGGGAGAAGCTTCGGTACGTCCCCGTCCCTTTCCCTTCCCCGCCCCGGGCAGCGGGTTTTGGGAAGGTGGGCGCGACCCTCCGGTTGCCTCCTCCGGCAGCTTCGCCCCGCAGAAGCGGAGCCGCCGGGGAAAGGGCGGCGTCCGTGGGAGTGGGGAGAGCGGGGCCTCGCGTCTGCCCCGCGGGTGGCGGGGTCCTCGGCCGCGTCAGACCGACCTCACGCAGCCCCGAGGGCACAGGAACGGCGGCACCGCACGCGTTTCCCTATTTCAAGAGGCTGGGCCGGGTCGGCCTCGCTTTAATTCCGGGTGCGCTGCTCTGCCTTTGCCAAGGAGTGCTGCCGATGCGTTACACTAGCAAAAATCACGCCGTGACGTTCCTAAACGTGTTTATTCCTTGGAATAAGTGAAAGCATACCTTACAGGTGCTTGTAACGGGTGGCAAATCTCGGTGGGACAGTATGTGCGTGAAAAAAAGCCCGTGGGGGCAACTGAGTGGTGAAATAGCTGCACGCGTTGGCCGGGTGAACGAGCAAATGAAATGGAGGACGCTTGCCTTTTGGACTCTGAATTTCTTTTTGCACTTCGGACAAGGGATTGTGGAGGTCCCTGTAGCACGTTTCTTCCTCCCCTCCTCTCGCTGGCAAATTCCAGGAGAGTTTGAGAGAAGGGGGTGCTCCTGCCCTGCGCCGGAGGGTTTACTGCACACTGTGCAGTTTTCAACTATATTACTGACATGTAAAAGTTTTAAAAGTTCCGTGGGAATAATAAAAAAAAACCCCCAACAGTAGTGCCCAGCGCCCCTTAAGGTCACGAAATGCTGATTTGTAGCCAGATAAATAGCCCAGGGGCTTTCTGTGATACCTGGAAACTATGATTATTAGAAAATCAGATATTTGTGGAATATAATTATTAAGATCAATTTAAGATGTTTTAACTATTTAACAATTGTGCTGCAGAACAAATACTGATCTTTTGAGGAATTGTTGGAATAACTGTAGGATAAGGAACTTATAAATAATCTTACTGGAGACTGTTTGGCCTTGTGGCAGGTGCAAAGAAACATAAAGAAGCTGCCAATTAGCAACAAAACCAGACCAGGCCAGCCTTGGAGGACAAGACATACGTGACCACAGGACTGAGTTTGCGCAGAAGTATAAGGGTCAACTGGCGGACACAGTGAAGAAGACTACGAGCCTTCATCTAAAGACCCCTGACGACCACCTGAAGACTCCAACTGACATGCGCAAGAGACATTAACATATGCTAAATGAGTTCCCAGAAAAGTTACGAATATGATCAAAATGCAATGAATATGTATGATTAAGGTAGTATAAATGCTTGTTGGTTTCATTTTCACACACACACGTTAGGAGGAGCTCTCCCTTGTGCGTCCGGAGCTGTAATAAAGAATGCCTGCTTTCCAAAACTCCAAAATTGAGTCTTAGAGAGCGGATTAATTACCACTTTCCGGTAACATCTGGCAGCAACAAGATTTCAGACCCTCGGGGAGGTTCCATGGGTGCGCAGGCCGGGCCCGCACTCGGCAGAGCCGCGGTTCAGCGGAGCCCACGGTTCAAACCGCGTCGGCCCGGCCCGCCTTGTGCCGGCGCTGCCTGGGGCACCGCGGTACCTCGTCCCGGTGGCCCCTTTGCGGCCCCGGGGGCGGCACGGCCCCGCCCATCCCGCCTCTGCCCCCGGCCCCGCCGATCCCGCCTCTGCCCCCGGCCCCGCCTCAGGCGGGCGGCCCGCGGCGCCCACAACTCCCGGCGCGCCGCGGAAGTGACGGCACCTCGCCGCGCCCTGTCGCCTAGCAACGATGTCGGGGCGGCGGGCCCGCGGCCCGCTCCAGCGGGTGCAGCGGCGGAGCCGGGAGCTGCAGGCGCAGGTACCGGCCGGGGACGGCGCGGCGGGACCCGCCCCGCCCCGCCGGCGGCTGACGACGCCTTGTCCTGTGTTGCAGGTGGAGGCGCTGCGGGCGGAGAGCGCGGCCCCGGCCCCCGGGCAGCGGAGAGCCCTTTCGCAGAGGTGAGGCGGCGCCTGAGAGGGGGGGTCCCCGCCCCCCTTTCCATCGCCCGGTGGCCAGGAGTATGTTGTGAAGGGGACCGTCTCGCGGAGTCACAGGATGGTTTGGGTTGGAAGGGACCTTAAAGGTCATCCAGTTCCAGCACCCCTGCCACGGGCAGGGACACCTTCCACCAAATCAGGTTGCTCCAAGCCCCGCCCAACCTGGCCTTGAGCCCTTCCAGGGTGGGGGCAGCCACATCTGCTCTGGGCAACCTGTGCCAGTGCCTCACCACCCGCATAGTAAAGAATTTCTTTCTTACATGTAATCTAAATCTACCCTCTTTCAGTTTAAAACTGTTACCCCTCGTCCTATCCCCACACCCCCTGATAAAGAGTCCCCACCTTTCCTGTAGCCCCCTTTAAGCACTGGAAAGCTGCTATAACGTGTCCCCAGAGCCTTTTCCAGGCTGAACACCCCCAGCTCTCTCAGCCTGTCCTCACAGGGGAGCTGCTCCCGCCCCCCGAGCATCTTCGTGGTCTCCTCTGGACCCCCTTGAGCAGATCCATGTCCTTCTGATGTTGGGGGCCCCAGAGCTGGACACAGCATTGGGAGGGGGGGTGTCTCCCAAGAGCAGAGCAGAGGGGGAGAATCCCCTCCCTCGACCTGCTGGCCACACTTCTCTCGATGCAGCCCAGGACACGGTTGGCTTTCTGGCTCACAGTCAGTTTTCCACCCACCAACACCCCCGAGCCCTTCTCGGCAGGGCTGCTCTCAATCCACTCATGGCACAGGCTGGATTTGTGCTTGGGGTTGCCCCGACCCATCTGCAGGACCTTGCACTTGGCCTTGTTGAACTTCATGAGGTTTGTATGGGCCCACCTCTCCAGCCTGTCCAGGCCCCTCTGGATGGCATCCCTGCCCTCCAGCGTGTCCCTGCACCACACAGCTCGGTGGCATTGGTGAGCTTGCTGAGAGTACAATTGACCTCACTGTCCACATCACCAACAAAGATCTGGTTGCTCTGAAGAAAGCCTCTGGAAGATTCACTCCGTTCCCTGTCACCTTTGCCTCGGAAGAAGGAGCAGCCTGTTCCCTGTACACTCTTCCTTTTTTCTCCTAATTGTACAGATGTCTTCCCTGCCCCTTCTTACTCATCTCTTTTCCAGGCAGAAACAACAGGCTAGCTGCTTCCCAGTCCTCAAGGGCTGAGGTAGTTTTAAGTGAGAACTTGCACATCACAGGTAATAATCAGCTAAGCTGCTGTTTGGGCTTGTGTTGGTGTTTGTCAAGCTGCATGCACATTGAGCTGAGTGAAGGTCTGAGTATCTAAATCGACACATTTCAGTAATCGTGCATGATTTGGGTCACCCATCTACTGAAATTTTAAGAAAATGCTATCTATCTGTCTTGCTTTCAATGCAGATGTATGCAGCTGAAGAAATTGGTGGATGAGAATACAAATGCTCTTCACGATTTGAAAAAAGTGAGTATGGAGACAAATTTGTTAGTAGTTTTCTCCAAAATACATCACGGAGAGCATTTAGAAAATACCAGCCTCCTTTGATTTTAGATGGCTCAGGACAAGAGCAACGCCCAGCATGGCACAATCCCTGATTGGGATCACTGAGATCCATTTCTATTATTTATAAGCACATTTTTAAAGGTTTATTGTGTACAAGTTACGTGCTTAAAATCTTTATCAACCCAACACGTTATAAAATGTTTATCAATGCATTGTATTGGAAGCAGAGAGTGCAGATTTGAAATTTAACATGAAATTTCATCTTGGCAGAGTAAAAGAGCAAGAAAGATGTCACTAAACACGGAGTGACAGCAGCCCAAGAAGGTGAAAGCTCATAAGACATGTGTGGAAAACTAACTTTATAGGGGAACTTTAACTTTGATTCTTTGAGCAATTTGTTGACTTCTTCTTTCTCAGGCTGATGAGCCTGCGCCTGTGGGGAACTATAATCAGAGGAAAGAAGAGGAAGAAAAGCTATTGCTAAAACTCTCTCAGCAGCTGCAGAAACTTGTTCTCATCTTGGATCAGGATAATGTGGCTACAAATTATGCAGTGTAAGTAGCCTAAACAAACACAATCTGCACTTGTACAGAATTGTACATGTACGGTTGGAAAGGACCCTGAGAAATGGTTAGTTCATCCCCTTTCTTATCTTAACACACAGTTAAAAAAGTAGTGCTGACGAGCCAGCTCTTATGGCCTTTGTTTTCTTGATGCAGTCAAGACAGACTTGCTGGAATTTTCCAAGGGTGTTGGTTAATGGCTGAAATATAATGTGGCTGCTGGGCGGAGAGGATGCAATGTGACCTGTAGGCTTAGGGAGGAAACATCATTGGGATTTTGGAGTTTTTTCAGAGCAGGACAGAGAGTAAAACACTGGAGTGAAAATTCTGTATCTGGATAATGACCTTACAGAGAAGCCCATATTGCAAGGCTTTACAGCAATTTCCAGTGGTTTCGTTAAAATAATAATAAAAAAAGTTTGATTCATTTTGGGTAGGGTTGAGGAACATCAGAAAGGTCCTCAAACAGAAGATGAAAATGAAGCAGAGGATGACAGTGAAGATGAAGAAAGTAGTGAGGAGGAAGACAGTGAAGAAGCAGATGATGATGATGAGGATAAATTGTTGGATGATCCAAATGTTAAAGAATGTATTGCAGTTGGAAACTTTAGTGCACAGCAGGAAGGGGATCTCACATTTGCGGTAAATATGTCTCTGTAAACATTTTTGGACTGGAGATAATTCTGTATTAAGCAATAACTATAATTAAATCCTGTGCTTCTGGGATTCAGCTGGTTCCTTGTGGGATTCAGGGAGAAATGGCTTTTCCTGGTGTACGTTTGGCTCAGTGGCATCCAGTGTCCTTCTGCCACCTTCTGTAGTATAGCGGGGTCTGTGGTGGTAGTCTGTGATCTCTGTTGTGGGAAAAATGAAGTTTTTGTGGTGTTTTTTTTTTTTTTTTTAATTGTGCCCAGAGCCATTTTGAAATATTTGGTTGTCTTTTGTCTCTGTCTCTCCTTCTAATGACAAAGAAAGGTGAAGTCCTACTTATACATGACAAGAAGGCGGATGGCTGGTGGGTAGCAGAAAACTCAAAAGGGGAGAGAGGCCTTGTTCCTAGAACCTATCTTGCGGTTAGTGCGCTGCAACCTTCTTCTGTTCTAGTCTCACCTCTGTTGTTTTAGATATAGTAATGATAATATAGCTGCTTAAATTGATCACAGTGCTCACATGGAGACATGCAGCAGTGCTTGCCCGTTCTTTGGGAATAAGACCATGTTTGTATGCGTGTGTGTGGAGATAGGTAGCAAAAGCAGTATTTTTGTGCCTGATGAAGATGTGACATACAAATGCAGAGAAGTTTCTTGAATATGAAAATCATAATCTTTGTCACTAAAGGTCAACTCTGAGGTCTCCACACTGCTATGGACTAGTTTGTGATTTTCATAATTTATATGAAATGCGAGTCCATGTAAATGTTGGAGTATTTTATAATTTAACATGGAAGAACCTTTTAAAAAATGGACTTTCAACTTTTTTTTTTTTTCCCCAACATCACTTACACATGTTAGTTTATGTAATTATGCACATATATATCCAGTGTACAACTGTGGTGAACATTTAAATGTGAATACACAGTTTGGATTGAGTGATCAGGTGGAACAGAGCTTTCCACAATGTAACTAAAGAGCACGTTGAGTAGCTAGCTTTTTACTTCATGATGCTGATGCATTTCTCTTTTTAAAGAATCCGCTTTGCAAACACATTCTCTTGCTTACTTGCAGGAATACTCCAATCTCTTGCTGTAACTGCAGAACTAAGGGCAGTGTTCTGCAGTTACAGTGCTATGGAGTGACAGGTCATTACAGACAGAGAATCTCCTCTTCTGAACTATTACCATGTCCTGTAGCTGGAGAAAGCATTTTTAAGAACAAAACTGAAGAAATCATGCACTTTCCCTTTTGGAATCTGAATTACAGGTCCATAATGAAGATGTCAACAGCCAAGAGGAAAGCGAAGAACACGTAGAAGTGGTGGATGAAACAGCAGATGGAACTGAAATTCAAAAAAGGTAAATGGAGTGATGTGAAAGCAAATAAGTATAAAATTATTCCTCCTCCTTCAATCTGGCAGTATATGGCTTACAGTGAGAATACCTCACAAGGGTATTTGGTTCTTTGCATTTTTCTTTTCAGTACAGCAGTCACTTGCTTTTTTTTTTTTTTTCAGTTTGCAGACTTTGAGTGGGTTTGTTGGGGAGTTTCGCTTTGGTTTGCCTTCCCCTACCCACCCCCCACCCCCCCCTAAAATCAAAGAATGACTGAGTCATGTATCGAGTTATGTTCCAGCACATGAGACAGTCTAGCAATTAGTCTTACTGGCTGGAAATATGTCATTATTAGTA